GATAAATATACTCTAAATACCTTTACATTTAATGCATAACTACACGAAATATTGTAAAAATAGGCATATGATATACAAATATCTACTAAATATTGTAGACATTCATCGGGTATATAGTAATTATTCATCAACAATAATAAAAATATATACAAAATATTGTTGTTTTAGTACAAATCTATGATATGTTTTGTAGATGTAGATTAATTTTGGCATTAAATTGTATATTGTATTGTAGGAATTTACTTAAAATAATGCACTTATTGCATAATTTTATCAAATCTATTGAAATAATAGCGTATAATAAGTACAATTATGTAGAAAGTGTTGTAGATTTAGTACAAATTCATGCAAATTAGTGTAGAAATAGCCAAATAATGTACAAATATGTGTTAAATGTTGTAGAAAATCATTGAATATATAGCTACTATACGTCAACAACAGTACAAATATACGTATAATATTGTGAATTTTAGTAAAAATAATGATATTAAATACAAATATTTGTGTGAAGTTTTGTAGAAATTGCAAAATACATAGCAATAATAATGAAATTATTAATATTTTGTTAATATTTATACAAAAATTTTGTATATTTAGTACAAATGCATTCAAATAGTTGTATTGATTTTGATAAAAAGAATCAAATATAATACAAATATATACTAGTTTGTGTATATTTTGTTGACAAATATATTGGAAAATATGATATTTAATTAAAATAATCATAAAGTACGATATAATTGATAAATTTTTTGGAGATTAGTGTGTGAATATAGGAAATATATAAAAAGAATATCATATTTTGATAAAATAAAATGAATATAACACAAACATATACTATTAGTAGTAAACTTTATTGGTATTTCGTGTAAACAAGTAAAATATAATGGAATTATTAGTATTTGTTTTAAAAATAACTTATTTGTTACTAATAATAAAAAAGTATGCGTAAAATTACTAAATTATTAATATTTTTTGTTAAAATATTTAGATAATTAATGAAATTGTGTGCAATAATTAGTGAAAATGTTAAAATAGTTGTGTTTAAACAGTAATTTACTCAAAATTCTATTGAATATACGTATAATATACAGCTATGTGAGCTATTTAAGTGCCACCTATTGACCATCAATGTCATTAATATAGTGGTATTATGCTAATAACTAGATATTTAATAAAATAAGCAATAATTTATTCATAAATCAAATGAATATCAGTATAATACACACGTAAATTGGCTATTGTAGAGCCATCTATCGTAAACTAATAGCCTTAATGTAGATGTATATTGTGTATATATAACGATATTTAATTAAATTAACGATAATTTAGCGATTAATCTAATAAATATCAGTATAATACACAGATTTGTTGGCTATTTTTGCGACATCTATTGGAAATAACAGCTTAAATGTAGGTGTATATTGTTTATTTATAACGTTATTTACTCTAATATATACAACTACACTGTAAAGTTAGTAATAAATTACTTAAATCTTAATTAAATACTAGTAAAATAGAGTAAATTATTATAAATTTTGTAGAGTTTACGTAATTATTTGCAAAATATTAATAGAAATAATAAAATAATTGAAATAATTAATATTTATTTGTCAAAAATCATTATTAATTTTAGTTTTTATAGCACATTAGCACACAAATACAACAGAATATAAGTATAATGAGAGGGTATATTGGCTATCATTCTACCATCTATTGGTATATAATGTCATTAATATAGTTGTATTTTTCTATTAAATTAAAATATTTAACAAAATACTGACAAATAAACTGCAAATTTAGTAATAAACTAGTAAAATCTTAATTACATATTTGTAAAATATAACAATTTTTGTAAGAATTAGTGTTTTAATTACAAAAATTAATAAAAATAATAAAAATTTAGTTACATTTAGTAAAAATTACTTAATTATTTGCAAAATATTATAAAAATAATAAATATTGTGTATATTTTCTTTAATTATATTTAATAAATAACAAAATATTTGTAAATAATTAATAAATAACAAAATATTTGTAAATAATTAATAAAACTAACTATTTTTTTTGCAGTAAATTATATAATATACTTTACTTATATTATTTATGCTAAAAATATAACAAAATATTAACAAATTATAATACAAACAACAAATTTTAAACAAAATACTATTAATTTTACTGAATTTATATAAATTATAGCAATAATTTGCATATTATGCGGGTTGCTATGGGTTACTAAGGGGGTAACTATATAGGGGTGGAAAGGGTTATATAGCGATTATTCGGCCAAAATATTGTTAAAATGGTATATTTTTATTAAATATTTGAAAATAATAACAAAAATAAATTGAATTTGTATTAAAAACAACATTTAATTTACAAAAATTAGATAATTTATACAAATTAGTAGAATTTATTTAATTTCTTTTGTTATTTTATTTTAAAATTAATAGATTTTTGCAAAAATTAAATAAATTTATTATTTTGTTATTAATAGTTGATATAAATATTAAAATTATTATTATTATTCACAATACATTAGAATATTTAATTAAATAATTTAAAAAAAGACATAATTATTAATATATTTGCAAAATATTGTATAGTACTGTGAAGAGTAGCTATAGAGCTTGCCTTTGCCAATGTTAATATAGTGGGTTTTCCCCAAATATTTGCCAAAAATGCTATATAAGAGGCAAAATTGTGTTAATATTCAGTATAATCTATTGTAGATTTAGCTAAATTATTGTAATTGATTGTAACGATTAATCCTCAGACAATGTCTTTAACTACAATTCACGAGTTATCGCCATTGATGACGTTGGGTGAGTTGGACATTTTTGGTGTCCCGCCCACTCAACTAATGGTTGAGAGTGATATTCAAGCTGAGTATAGGCCTATTAGTGTAATTAATAATTGTATGGCTCCAATAGAATTTAATATTCACACTGGAATAGACGAGTATATTAATCTAGGCAAAAGTGAGTTGTATTTAGCTATTAAAATCCATTTGGATAAAACAAATATGGCCAAAGACCCTACTATCACAGTGGATGATTGGAAAAAGATTGCACCAGTAAATTATTTGATGCACTCTTTCTTTAAACAAATTGAAGTTTATATTGGCCAAACGCTTGTGACGTCAGCGGCAGTTAATTATCCATATATTGCGTATTTTGACGCATTACTCAACAGAACCGCCCAAGCAAAACTAACTCATATGCAATCTGCCTTCTGGCATAAGGATGATTACAATGATATGGATGGTATAAATAAAGCAAGAAATGCTCGTATATTACCTAATGGTAATACTCTTAAAGAAAGTTGTAATATTGAAATGTACGGCAATTTACACTTAGATTTAGGCGAACAAATGAAATCTCTTTTAGGAGGCATTACTCTTAATATCAAACTACACCCTACTGACCCAAAGTTTTATTTAAATTTTCATAAGTTTCTAGTCCCTACTGTTGAAATATTGGATGCGCGTATGTATGTTCACAGAGCAAAACTTAATCCACAAGTAGTTGTGGCTCATAATCGCGCTTTGAGCAATGGAAATGCTCGATATTTTATTACTCGAAAGGAAGTTAAAGCATTTACTATTGCTAAAGATACCATCGATTACTATTTGAATAATGTCGAAAATGGAGTTATGCCTCGTAAACTATATGTCGGCTTAGTTAACAATGAGGCGTTCAACGGTGCCGGACATTTGAATCCGTTTAACTTTAAAAACTACAATTTACGACACATTGCTTGCTTTCTCGACGGTCAGCAATACCCTCATAAGCCTTATACTCCAGATTTTGTAAATAAACAATATATTCGGGAGTATTTTGGACTGTATGAGACTAATGACCAGATATATAATACAAATCTTGACATAACTAGAGAGGAATTTGCCGAAGGTTTCACAATTTACGGCTTTAATTTTATACCGGATTTAAGTGATGGCGTCATTAAGAATGGATACGTTTCGCCTGTTAGACGTGGGAATATGCGAATTGAATTAAAGTTTAATGCTCCTCTGAGTGAAACTGCCACCGCCATTGTATTCTGTGAGTACGATAGCCTAATTGAAATTAATACTGCTCGACAAGCATTTAGAGATTNTGAAACTGCCACCGCCATTGTATTCTGTGAGTACGATAGCCTAATTGAAATTAATACTGCTCGACAAGCATTTAGAGATTTTTAATTATTAATAAAAACATTGTAAACTCTATTTATATTTATGCCAATAAAATTTATATTTTTAATTTATAAACTGTATATTTTTATTTATTTTCAATTATTACGTAACAGCTGATACCGGTTTTAAATATAAGTTATATATATTTACTCTATTCACGTGAGAAAACAATAGAAATAATAACAAACAACAGATAAATAACCAGTTTATTTTTAATGTACAAACTGTAACTTTTTAATTACCAACAATATTTGCTACTTAAAAATCTAATGCTTATAGTTCTGTGTAATATGTGTGAAAGTGTGTGTGAGTGAGAGAGAGAGCAAAACCAGTTTAGTCACGTGAGTAAAGGTAAAGTATACTTGATTTAATTGTGACACAATAATTAATTGTAATTAATTAATTAATAAATTACAATTAAAATTGATTGTAATTAAAATTAATTGTGATAAAAAAACAACAATCTCTTGGTAAGAAATTGATGACCGCCATCTTGGTCTCACATCAATTACGTCACTATATAATACATATATCTTATGTTAACAATTACACGACGTCATTGATGCCCCGAACCATATGGTTTTGGGTCTCCCAGAAATTACGTCCCCCATAAAATGGCTATATCTTGGTAAGACATTTTTGACGTTATTGACATCCCGAACCCGGGCATAGCCGCCGACGTCTACTATTATTCATTATGCTAACTTTGGCTGGAATTTAGACATCTCGATCATCCATAATTTTCATGTTGGTTAAAAAATTACAATATAATTACTTTGTTATACTTTGTCAATTAATAGGCATTCATTTCGATGCAATCACTTGTGAGTCGTGTAAAGCCTTTTTCCGCAGAAATGCACTCAACAATCAAGTAATTTAATCATAATGCTTTAAATAAGTTGTTTTAATTAATACAGTAATTATAAATAATAGGATAAATATATTTGTAAATTTGCGGGCAATTGTGAAATAGATGTCGGGAACAGAATATGTTGTAAGAAATGTCGTTTGGATAAGTGTTTTGCGGTCGGAATGAAAAGTGTATGAAAATTAACTGTTTTTTTTATCACTACTTTATTTTCCTAATCAATTATTTTATTGATAACATTTCAGAGTTTGATTATCACTAAACCAAATGATGGCAACAATTCACATATTAATGCATACAATAAAAATGCCCAACACCTGAATGATGATAAAATACTAATCAATTCAAGTGTCCTGAATGTCAACAATCATAAGACACTTAATAAAAAGAGACTAAAATTAGCAAATAATTCACAACTCAACCAATTAAATGATAACAATTGTGTGTCAAATAATACACTGCAAAATATAATGGTGCCAATTATGAAACCAATCAGTGATTACAGCAATACTTTTAATGAATTAGAGGGCAATAGATTGGGTGAGTTGTTGGACGCGTTAAAACTGATGGTCTATCCGGTGGTTAATACCGGGGATCAGCTAATTGTCCACCATTTTAGCGAAGCCTACGATGTATTGTATGAGTTCAAGGAAATTGAGATCCAAAACATTATCAAAATGTCTAAATGTTTGCACAAATTTAAAACTCTTATCGACCATGATCAATTAATTTTAATTAAATATTCGGCCATTGAGATCGATACTTTGCGATTGCTATTAAATTTTAACTATGGTGATATGGCGTGGAATGTATGTACAGTAAGTACCGTGGGTTATAATTTGATTATGGTAGATTAATTTTCAGTAATTTGCATTTGTAGAAAAAAGGTCGCTTTAATGTAAGACTGGATTCGTTCAAAGCCAATGAAAATATGGATGAGTACAACCTTCACATAGATTTCCTAACAAACTTTGAATGGGATTCAGATATTTTGGTCATTCATTTGGTATATGTTTATTATTGATGTAATATATTATTGTTTAAATTTAATGTATATTTCATGTCCTCAGTTAACAGCTATATTGCTATTCAACCCAAATCGTCCAAATCTTATAAATAGGACCGCTGTTAAGTGAGACTGACTAACAATTATTAATGTAAAACAATTGATTAATTAACACACAATTCACTGAAACGCTAGATTACAACAGAATATTTACATATATTTATTGCAACGCTATTTACAAATGAAATATCGATCGGATTTCCTATCAAAAAGCAAAGCGTCGCGACTTGTGCTGAGTCTAAAGCCACTGAATATTCTGGACCAACAAATAACGACAACTCTTTCAAAGCAAATCAACTTCACTTCTTTGCCATTATTTAGGGAGATATGTGACCGAAACTAACATCTAGTTTATAATAATACAATTACTGTAGCACGGTATATTTTAATTGTTGTTGTAATATTACAATTAAATCTATATAAAATACATTCAATTAGTTTTAGATATAAGCGCATAAACTAATTGTGAATTATCTCATATAATAAAATGACATACAGCATATTAATTAGTACTAATATATTAATAATTATATAAGCTTGTTCATTTAGTTTGATTAATTAAAACAATTAAGTATTTTGTTTCAATAATTATATATAAGATATAACAGTTAATAAAGTTAATTGTAAATTAACCTCAATGGTCAATTAATGATATATATTTTTTATCATCAATTTCTAATATTGTATAATAATTTCTACACAATTGTAAAGCGTATACAAAATGCAAAATAAAAAGCGTTAAAACGTTATACAAAATAATTTATAAAATAAAGTCTAAATATTATTTGTGCCAAAAATTCACAAAAATTGTGAATTAATAAAAAATAGTAAATTTCAGTTCATTGGAGAGATTGTTTGCGCTAAAAAAAGTTTACATTGAGATCATGTTTTCATCTCTTGTGCTTCAAATACATTATTCCTCTTGAGTCCACTCCACAGACAACAGGAACAACAAATTATTGGGCAATGGATAGGGAGGCCATAGGAGGGACGATGCTATCGCCGGAGTATACATCGGGTAACACAATATTTAGCTCACAGACTGGTTGTCGGACGGCATCCGAAGAGTTGCCACCATTTGGTTGCCTCATAAGTGCCAATCGGGCGGACAGATCGCGTGTCGGGTCTTTTGCTCGAACCTTAAACGTCAACAAACTCTCAGTAAACGCCCGAAACGGTAGCGCCAACTCTGGGCCAGACTTGTAGTCGCCGTCGGCGGTCACCACTGGCGACAAGTTTCCGGCAAACTCTACGTACAGGGCTTTGCCGTCGACGACCTCCACGGTCTCGCATTTGGCCACTCGGCGGAAGTGTCGGCGCTCTTCAAACACCATCTCTTCGTCGTCGGCGTCATCACCGGTGGTGCAGACGAGACGGATCTCGCCGTCCGACCGGTCCAGTCGTCGGCCGTACGCGACAACAGTGGCCCCGAAGGGCACGCGAATCGCCTCCCGGTATAATTGAGCGGCCATTTCGGTCACCGCTTTCGGCTCACGACAGTCGACGAGCCAAAACCGGGCCGACACTGTTGTGGTGAACGATAGACAATCGCCCTCCAGAGTGAATGCCGTGGAACCGGTCACGTCCTCCCATTGGGCGCCGGCTGTGCCGCCGCTTATACTACACAACAGGCGTATAGTGTCTGTCGTGAGCTTTTTCTTCGCCTTCTTCTTGTACTTGCCTTCAGTGGCCATCACTTGACGGACAGGTATTGCGAGTGTAATTGGTTTGTGAAATTTGCGTCTCCGGGGCTCTACTGTGCACACGTCCGACACAGCCATCCGATTGCCAAACATGTCGGCCACCAGATCCGCGGCGATGGGCAACACTTGCAGCCCGACTCGTATGTCTTTAGTTAGGGCTCCGACCGGAAACACGGCCTTCACTCGCGGGGCGACTGTCGAGCGCATGACTCCGCCCTTCGGACCCATTAGCGACACTTCTTGGCGGACACGTGTGATGACAGCGAAATGTCGCGGCAGATCTGCCGTCACAATGCGTACGATTGGTCGGTCGGCACTCGTCTCACCCATCGAACACTTGGCCAACACTTCGCCGACTCCTTCCGCCGACTCTTGTGTCAAGTGTTCCCTCCAATCGTCGCCGGAATCGCTTCGCAACACAATTATCTCTCGCTCTGGCGGTCGGAGTGACGCCCAGTGGCCCAACTCGACGACCACTGGGCCGCCGGTGAATGCGGTGCCCATTGGACCGAACACCAGCACCGGTGCGGCCAACGCTTCGCCGTCCATCAGCGGCGGTGGCGTCAGAAGAGTCACTTCTTCGCCGCTCATGAATCCACAGGTGATTGTTGTGGGCGTCGTTGCCCTCCCCGGAGGGATAATCAGGCGAAAGCCCGACCGCCCGCCCCCTCTCATCGTACCGCCCCTCTCGTCAACTGTGAAACTGGCCATTCGGTCACCCTATCAATGGGTGCGGTCTTATTAAATGGGATTAATTTTATTTTAAGTTAAATACAATGTTTTGTGCAGAATATTCTGTGTATTGGCAACTGAAGTGCAATGCAATTTCAATGATGTCACTTTATTTATTTGTATTACCACAACGTTTTAATCAATTCCATATCCATGGATACCGTATTACGCAAGAGTGGTTGCTGTGTTAATTCATGTGTTACAATGATTTATATATAGATTTTTACCATAATTAGTTTTAATGTTTACTCTTAATTGTATATTTGTTTAATAAATTGTATACACATTATATAAATTTATAATATTAATTGTTATAAATATATCAAACTATTATTTTCCAAATATACACTAATTTTTATTAGCAACTTGTTGACTTTCACGGTAAGTTTGTTTATCATAATGCATTTTATTTATACAGTAATATTTTTTTTGTGCTGACATTACTGTTACAGAACTAACGACAAGAAATAAAAACATGTCAACGACTAGTGATAGAGCGTGTTTGGTGTGCGGCGACCGTACGGTCAGCGGTATGTCTGACCAACTATTATAACATATGAACGGTTGAGACCCAAATGGTTACACCAAACTATTTTATAAGCACATAGACTGTAGTTAATCTATTATTGTTCATAATTATAACTTTATTAACCATTTGCATCTTGGTCATTCATATTTTTAATGTTGTCTTAAAATTTTTAGTGATTATTATGTAATACTGTCCTAAATAGGGACACATTTCGGGGCAATCACTTGTGAGTCGTGTAAAGCCTTTTTTCGCAGAAATGCACTCAACAATCAAGTAATTTAACTTTTTTGCAATTATTTATTTTATTGTATATTAATTTATTATAAATTATAGAATAAATATGTTTGCATTTCTGCGGGTAATTGCAAAATAGATGTCGAAACCAGAATATATTGCAAGAAATGTCGTTTGGATAAGTGTTTTGCCATCGGAATGAAAAGTGTATGAAAAGTGAATATTTTTATCTATAATTGTTATTAATTAACACTATTTTATTGCAAACCCTTTTAGAGTTTGATTATTGTTAAACAAAAACGTGGCGTAAATCCAGATATTAATGGAAATTATGAAAATACACAACAATTAAACAATAAATTACAAGTGAATGGAAATATGTTTGATAACAATAAATGCAAGACAATTAATGAACAAAATAATAAACTATCAAATAATCTAAACGTAAATCAATTAACTGCTAACAAACTGAACTCAAACAATACAATCAAACCTCTAGTTATGCCAATTATAAGACCAATCAGTGATTACAGCAATACATTCAATGAATTAGAGAGCAATAGATTGTGTGAATTGTTGGACGCGTTAAAACTGATGGTCTATCCGGTGGTCAATACCGGGGATCAGCTAATCCTCCAGAACTTTATGGAAGCACACGATGTGGTGCTCGACCGACAGGAACACGAGATTCAAAACATTATTAAAATGTCCAAAAGTCTGCACACATTTAATTCGCTAACTGAACATGATAAACTAGTTTTAATTAAATACTCGGCCATTCCCATTAATAATTTGCGATTGTTAATGAAATTTGATTATGATGATATGGCGTGGACTGTATGCACGGTAAGTGTTTTAGTTAGTTTTAAGATTGATCATGGTTAATTGTTAATTATATTAACAACTAGAAAAATGGCCTGTTTAATGTGCGACTAGATTTGTTCAAGATGAGTTCAAATATGGATCCATATAATATTCATCATAATTTTCTGACAAGTATGGGTCTTGAATGGGATTCAGAAGTTCTGGCCATTCATTTAGTATGTGTTTACCATAATGTTTATCATTTAAGTAATTTTAATTTATTTATAGTTAACAGCTATACTACTATTTAACCCAAACTGTCCAAAACTTATAAATAGGACCATGGTTAGGTGAGACTGATTACAAATATAGCCGTAAAACATGGAATTTATTAAAATAATAATTTTTGAAATTATAGATTACAACAGAATATTTATATTTATTTATTACAACGCTTTTTACAAATGAAATATCGATCGGATTTATTAGCAAAAACAAAATTATCACGACTTGTAAAAAACCTAGAGCATTTGAATATTCTTGATGAACAAATCACCATCATTGTATCTCAACTTGATTTAAAGTCTCTGCCCTTGTTTAAGGAGATCTGTGACCGGAATTAACATCAAACGTACATAAGAGATAAAACTGTGCCAATTCTTGCCTCCTATTGATTGCATTAAATATTTGAATATTATTAGTGTTGGATATCTGAACAAAATGACTATAAATTTTAGTTTTTATTTAATTTATTATATAAGAAATTAATTAATTACTAGATACTAATACTATGCATGAACTAATCCCATGTAATTAAATATAATTGGCATATATTTAAATAAAAATTTCATTTTTAAGACATGTTATTTTGCTATTAATTTAAACGCCATTAACCGCTATTAAGTAATACTTTTGTGGCACTTTATAACTATAGATTACAACAGAATATTTAAATTCATTTACTCAACTGTTTTATTCAAATGAAATATAAATCAAAATTGTTGTCAGACATCAAATCCCTTACATATTTTCAATATTGGCAGTGTAAAATATGCTACCCCCGACTTTTCCTTTGACCTTTGAACTTATATATAAAGTTCACCCTGTATACTATTATACTAATAAATAAAGCTACTTATTTATATTGCCTTTTATGGCTGTAATTATTGTTTATCTAGAAAGATCAAATAATACTTTAAAGTTATTGTTACAAATATATTGTTTGTTTAACTTTAGAGAGCATCGTGTCTGCAAATTAACACTGAGGGCAAACTTTGGTGACATAGTTTATGAACAAAACCTTTCCACACATGTAATTTGTATTCAGAATCAAAGGGACTATAATAAATAATGTGCATTTAAACAACTTAACTTTTTGGGCATAAATTTATTGTTAAAGATAATATAACTATGTTACTTCAATTGTGTGTATAAAGTAATTAGGGCGTTATGATTACAATACTTAAAGAATCGATAGTGTGCTAGGTGACAGTAAACATGGTTAATGCGAGCTTTAACCTGTGCATAAACAATCTACTAATTATTAAAATTACAAAGAACTTATTAATTTAAATACGAAATTATTAATTGTTTAGGTATTTATTAATTTGGTTATTCTATTTTCAACTGCAAATTTGTATTGTACTAGACAGTTTTACTATATTAAAATTAAATAACACTCTTGTTATACATAACCAATAAGTATGCCGGAAGAATCATATTCATGCACTATTTGCGGTGACAAATCTAAAGGTAATTTTAATGTATTAATAAAACTATAATTTAATTTGTTAAATGTAATATTGTTGGCAAATAGGCTATCATTTCGATGCCATAACATGCGAGTCGTGTAAATCCTTTTTTCGCAGAAATGCACTAAATGTGGTAATTTTAAATATAAATTTCATATTATATTACAAATAACATTAAGAGTTTGCTTAAAATAGGATAAATTCAAGTGTTATTTGGGCGGAAATTGTGTGATAAATATTAAATCGAGAACTGAATGTAGAAAATGTCGTTTAGATAAGTGTTTTGCAGTCGGAATGAAAACTGTGAGTACTTTCTAAGAATTATTATTTAATAGAAAATATTATTTAATAAATTTTAATTTTATTAGAATTTGTTTTATTCGACAAAAGTGTTACAAATAAGAAGAAATGTCATTAAAAATAACCAAAATTTTACTAATAACTCGTCGATGAATAGCGAGTCAATAGTGGACTCGACTCCCGGTTTATGTTCCCCGCAATCGGTGTCCGATTTTATTGACAATATGTTTAGTGAAGTGAGTCTATCATCGGAAATGTCGGACAATTCATGTGAAACAAATACATGTGAATTGAGTCAATCAGTTGTGCCGATTGTGCGACCGATCAGTGATTACAGCAATACTTTCAATGAATTAGAAGGCAATCGATTGACTGAATTGTTGTCTGCATTGAAATATACAGCAAATCCTGTGGTCAATGCCGTCGACTATTTAACACTGGATTGTGTCAATACAGCCCGTGATATTTCGTTTAACCGATGGGAAAATCAGGTCAAACTAGTTATACAAATGTGTAAAAAATTGAACTCCTTTAAGGCACTAACTGAACATGATCAATTGTTATTGATTAAATATGGGGCTTTAGATATTAATTATTTGAGAATGATATTTGATTTTAATTTTGAACAACAATTTTGGCGCATGAATGTGGTATGTTTTGTATTATAAACTTGATTAGACTTTGTTTATAATTAATGATATGTCATTAACAGAATAACCGTGTATATAATATGAAACTGGAATTATATCAAGAATTTGGTGACGTTTATGAAATTCAAAAACATTTTCTAACTAATATGGGTCTCGACTGGGATTCCGATACACTTATCATTGATTTGGTTTGTATTCATTCATTTATCTAGATATAACAATATTATTACCAATAGTATTATAACAATAGTATATTAAAATTGTTTTATTTATAATTATTTACAGTTAACGGCAATAGTACTCTTCAATCCGAACCGTCCAAACCTTATTAACAAACATATGATAAAGTAAGACATAACTACACATAAAGTTTACAGTAAAATAATTTATTAATTAAAAATATCCATTTCTTATAGATTACAACAGAATATTTACATTTATTTATTACAACGATATTTACACATGAAATGCGGTTCAGAGTTTTTAGCTCGTGGTAAACTTCACCGACTAGTCGATAATCTAACATATTTGAATGTCATAAACACAACAATAGCCTATTATAGTCTCTACGGACCAGATATTATACCAGGTACCAAATACCCGGTATTAAAAGAGATATGCGATAGGAATTATACAGAGTTTGAACTTAATTTGCAACATAGTCAGACACTACCACAGATACTTTAAAGTTTATAATTTAAACAATCAAGATTCTGTTACCTTGTTTCTTCATTAGAATTGACAATTATATTTATAAAATTGTTTATTATAACAGTGTTTATTGATTTAATTAAAATTTTTTACATTAACAATCTAGTTAACCATAGGTGTTTGATAGTGACAGTTTGTTTTGTATTATATTAATTATTTATTAAATTGTATTATTAATATAAAATAAAAATAAATTTTGTTTATGTAACACTGTTTGTATGTTCAATGTGATATTTCTCCAAGGTCACAGTAAGTATAACTGATGCAATAAATTTACATGCTTACTTCACTTTTATTATTTATAATAAAACTCTTGATTTGATATGTTTCATATATTGATGATTATTAAATTGTTCCCGGGGTAACAATAAATATGGATGTAACAGTTATATAAAATTTTATATTTAATTTTCTCAATTAAAAATGAACATGGCAAATATTTTACCACAATGATTGTTTATAATTACAAATCTAAATTAAAGTTTTAATTATATGTAAAAACATAGCTGCATATTTCACTGATTAAATCATACTTGATCAATTGTAATAAATAATAAAACTAATAAAACATGTCTAAAGAAAATAAATCATGTTTAGTTTGCGGCGATAAATCTAAAGGTAAGAAAAGCATAATTAATTATTAGTATAATATTAATTACAAGTAATAATTTATTATTAATAAATGTCATTTTGCCGGTGAAAAGGTCGTCATTTTGATGCCATCACATGTCAGTCGTGTAAATGCTTTTTCCGCAGATATGCACTCAAAAAAGTGGTAATTTTTAATACAGATTTACTTTTAGTTTCATCTTTTATTAAAATAATAGTTGCATAAAATTAGGATCATTTTAAGTGTCATTTGGGCGGCAATTGTGTGCTAAATATGATGACAAGAACTGAATGCAAGAAATGCCGTCTAGATAAGTGTTTTGCAGTCGGAATGAAAACTGTGAGTGAAATAAATATTTATTAAATTGAAAATTTTTGAAAACATTTTGTATTTTTATTAGACTTTGTTTTATTCGGAACAAGAATTGCAATTCAGAAGAGATATCATTAAAAACTATAGAAAACGTAAACTAAATGAAAACTCGTCGATAAATAGCGACACAATAGAGGACTCGACTCCCGGTTTATGTTCCCCGCAATTGGTGTCCGATTTTATTGACAATATTTTAAGTGAAGACAATATATCACATGAAATGAACAATAATTTAAATAATGATAAATTGAATCAATCAGTGATACCTATAATGAGACCAATCAGTGATTACAGCAATACTTTCAATGAATTAGAAGGCAATCGATTGACTGAATTGTTGGACGCATTGAAATATGTGTCAAATCCTAAGACCAAATCAGTAGACTATATAACAATGGATTGTATTATGAAAGCAATTGATATTATATTTAACACGTGGGAAACTCAATCCAAACAAATCATTAAAATGTCCAAAAGTTTCACCACATTTAAAACACTTACCGAACATGATCAATTAATCCTGATCAAATATGGCGCCATTGAGATTAACTATTTGCGAATGATTTTTAATTTTAATTTTGAGCGACAATCTTGGTTAATAGACATTGTAAGAATTATTAATTGTTAATTTTTATTTGTTTGTGATTTTGTTATTTATTACCAGAATAATAGTGTTTATAACGTAAAACTGGATCTATACCGACCAAATGATTATGCTTATAGCAATCAACTAAAGTTTTTGGGTAATATCGGTCTCGACTGGGATTCCGATACACTTATCATTGATTTGGTTTGTATTTATTGAGAGCACATAAAAGTAAATGATAATTAATTATATAAATTACTTACAGTTAACGGCGATAATCCTTTTCAATCCAAACCGTCCAAACCTTTTAAACAAAAATATGATTAAGTAAGGCATCGATTGCTATACAGAATAATACAATAAAAATTATTGATTAATTAGTACTATTAATTAATTATTAATTACTTTTAAAATATCAATTCCTTATAGATTACAACAAAACATTTTCATTCATTTATTGCAACGATATTTGCAAATGAAATGTGGGTCCAAGTTATTAGCTGATGGTAGAGTGGACAGATTAGTGGATAATTTGAAATATTTGAATCAAATCAATACAGGAATAACGGATCACATCTACATTAAAGAGTTCGACATTAGCGCCAAATACCCCGTGTTTAGGGAGATATGCGATAGGAGTGAGATTGACATCACCACTAGTTTGCACCATGCTCAAATGCCACTATAGACAATGTAAATTATTTGTGGTTTAGCCATAGTTTAACAAGGTTCATCTCATTGTTAATTGTAAATTCTTTAATACACAATTCTTGTATATAGACCAGAATAATAAATATTTTACCATGTACATACAGCACTATTTATATTGATTTGTGTGGTTCAGAGCTATTTTTATTAACTTTTATTTTGAATCATGTTATATAATGATCAGTTATTGTGTGCAAATTTACTATTTAATAAATTATAAATAAATTATGTGTACATTTTATAAATATGTTTATGTTTATAATGATAAATCATTGATAATAGTTGCCAAAGCTACAGTAAACATGGCTGATGCAAGTTTTAGTAGTTATTTGAACATTTCATTGAATATTTACTGTTAATGAGTAAAATAATTTACATTGATGATTATTAAACTCAGTTTACATTTTGTATGAAACTGTTTTTATTGTAGCAGCATATAATTTTCTTTTTGAAAATTAAATTACAATTTTATTATAAAAGTTATATTAATGGTGTTTATTGCTAAATACCAATTATTGGTATTATAATAATCCGGTTCATTTTCCATAAATAAACTTATTGTAGCACATTATGCCGCGGGAAAACAAATCATGTTCAATTTGTGGTGACAGGTCTAATGGTAATAAAAATATTTTAATTGTTACATTTTTTACTGATTATAATTTCATTGATAAAAAGGCCATCATTTCGATGCCATAACATGTGAATCGTGTAAATCATTTTTTCGTAGAAATGCACTCAAAATTCCGGTATTTTTATTAACATTTAGGTTTACATGATTACAATATTCATCTTATTAAACTAATATTTACATAAAATAGGATCATTTTAAGTGCTATTTAGGCAACGATTGTGTGATAAATATTGAGACGAGAAATAAATGTAAAAAATGTCGTTTAGATAAGTGTTTTGCCGCCGGAATGAAAACTGTGAGTGAAATATCAAAAGTAATTATAATTATTAATAATTAAAAATTGAAATTTTTATTAGAGTTTATTTCATTCGGCAAACAAATTATTTTTAAAAAGAGATGTCATTAAAAACAACAAAACACAAAAATTAATTAATAACTCGTCGATGAATAGCGAGTCAATAGTAGACTCGACTCCTGGTTTATGTTCGCCGCAATCGGTGTCTGATTTTATTGACAATATGTTTAGTGAAGTGAGTCTATCGCCGGAAATGTCGGACAATGCATATGAATTGAGTCAATCAGTTGTGCCAATTGTGCGACCGATCAGTGATTACAGCAATACTTTCAATGAATTAGAAGGCAATCGATTGACTGAATTGTTGAACGCATTGAAATATACAGCCAATCCTGTGGCCAATGCCGTCGACTATATAACACTGGATTGTGTAGAAAGAGCGATGGATATACTCTATGTAAAATGGGAAACTCAATTCAAACATGTAATACAAATGTCCAAAAATCTGAGTGCATTTAGGGTCCTAAGTGAACATGATCAATTGATATTAATTAAATACGGGGCCCTCGAAATTAATTACCTGAGAATGATTCTTAACTTTAATTTTGAAAATGAATATTGGAATTTTGACATGGTGAGTTTTAAGTTAAACTAATGATGGTAATTAATTTGTGCTATATTGTTATTTAACCAGAATAATTGTGTATACAATTTAAAATTGGATTTATACCGACAACATGAAGGTAATAGAGCTTATGTTAATCAAAAACATTTTTTGGTTAATATGGGTCTCGACTGGAATTCCGATACACTTATCATTGATTTGGTTTGTATTCATTTTATAACAAATGTGTATTCATTATAAAATTGTACAATTTATAAATAATTTTACAATTTATTTACAGTTAACTGCGATAACACTTTTCAATCCCAACCGTCCGAACCTTATTAACAAACACATGATTAAGTAAGACATTGATTGTATTTGTATGTAATTAATGACAATTATTTTTAATTTATTCTTCCCATAGATTACAACAGAATGTTTACATCTATTTATTGCAACGATATTTACAAATGAAATATAAATCCAATTTATTATCAAATGAAAAGTTTGTGAGATTCGTGAAAAATATAAAATATTTACAATACATTAGACACAGAATAGAGAATTTTTCACTTAAAAGAGTGAATTTAATACAATTTCCTCTCTTTAGGGAAATGTGTGACAAAACTTAAATATTATGTAATTATCATCACATCTATGCCTTAATGTATAAGATTTTAATTTAAAGATATAAGAAGTTGTTAACTAAATTATTGTAATTACAATTAGTATTAAGAATAAGTAGACATTTAATAACTTATAAATGTATATCAAAATCAATAGACACTAAAAAATTTTAATACAATCTAATTACAACTTAAATATTTATCCAAAATGTGAGTAAAAATTAATGCAAATAAAAAACATCAGAAATGAAAGGAAAAAAAGTTCAGAGAAGAGAGAAACGGATGGATTGTCTTTAAGTGTCTTTACTGTACCATTCAATTTTGAAATACAGATCGTCGGCCCTAACGGTCACCCTACCGGTCTGTGCTGACCACATGGTCTCGTAGTGATGGTGTACTGTCGGGGCGCACATCCATGAAACAGTACACCACTCGAGCGGATTGTAATCGATAGCAGACTTCAAGTGTTGGGTCACTTCATCCACACTGTAAGCCTCGCGGAGACCACAGCGCAGACCGGAGTTAATAGCGGTCAACAGTTCCGGTGTGAGCGACCACTCTTCATACGACCGGATCGTCGGTTCCGGTGATATAGTCTTGAAGCGAATGGTCTCCGGATTGATGGCCACATTTCTGGCCGACAGCCTCTCCATCAGCGCATCCCTCACATGCGGGAACAGTACGAGTGTCTGTGCCTTCGGTGACACCCGATGGCCGATCGTATGGACGCAATAGTCAGTCAACGCCGACATATCTGTCCATCTCTTCACACGAAGGACTCGAAGTTCTGTAAAGAGATTCAGATGTTTGGCGGCTATAAATTTGTTGACATCGAGGTAAAGGCTCCGGAGTTTTGGTAATTGTGACACCGATTTGAGAAAATCAAACATAAGTTGTGGACAGACAGTACAGACGGTGTCCACAGAATGGCACTGACAGGCTATTGGGGCGAGAGATGTGGGTAATAACAAGTGGCCGATTGTCATGTGTTTCAATGCGGGAAATTTGGTGGCCATTTGTGTCCACATCTTTATCCCAACGAAGCGTACGCTCAATGATTTCAATCTCGGCATCGTTTGCATTGACTGTATGTTGAATACAATGTTACAACTGATCGACAAATGTTGCAATTCTGTGAGTTTTGCGATGTCTTTGACGAAGTCTTGATCCGAGAGTGTATAATACAAGAGTGGATACGATTGAAACGAGAGTTGAGGGAATTCAACGCGAAGTGTCTTCAGTTGAAACGACTCGCAAATCGTCAGAAATAGTCGCTTCCAGTCGTCGAAGGCGTCGATTATGTTGTCGTTGTCGTGGATGAGTGCCAGCGATTCCAGTTGTGGACACTTTGTGTTGAGAGATATCAGCGAAATGGCCGACAAATAGCGGTCAGAGATGTAAAGGCGATTGATATTCGGAGGCAAACAAGCCATCACTCGATCGGTTCCGTCGTTGAAATCCACGAAATCAATGGACTCGAGCGATGATAATCCGCTCAAGAGCTGCAAACTATTGCCATAAAAGCCCTCAACAGTTATGTGTTTCATGTGAGACAACAGTTGTGTCCACTCGTCGTCAGTCTTGTCCTCTGACCACTGAATCTCAACGCAAACCAAATAGAGTTGAATGAGTTGTGGACAGCGATTAACAATCACTTCCAGTGTCTTGAAGTCAATGGATGTGTTTCGCAGAAAAATAGACTCAATGTTTGAACACTTCTTCAGAATTGAATCGATTGTGAGTTGACTTTCAATCAAATCAAATTTGTTGTCTTCTTTGCTAACAATCGCTTCACTGATATCTTCGCCGACAAACTTGCGATCAGTCGTGTCATTCATATACCCATTGAAACCAATGCTGAGGCCAATAGTCTTCTTCTTGAGAGCAGTTTCAATACAATCGTTGAATTGAATGCAAACCGTTTCTAATCTTATGAGTTGTTTCACCGAAAGCTCATTGAATATCAATCCTAAGATGTCGTCATTCATGACATGAGTTCTTCGGGAAGCGCTGTCTTCGGCAACGGTTCTGGACATTGAATTACAATTGAAAGACATTTCGAAGAAAAGTATTGCAAAAATAGATCACAAATTGAAGTGATTTTTCAAAACTTTGTTAAAGTCGTTAAGAAAAAAGTTTATTGTTTTCTTCACGCGATTCGTGTAATCAATGAAAAGTCAATGTTTTCTACAAAAAAAACTGAGAATTGCATTATTTTTCTTTAAACTTTATTTTTGTTTAAATTATTCATTGAATTGAATTTATTTTTATAATTTTATGCATTTTTTGATTAATGTATTGGATATACGTTTAAATTTTCAATGGGAAATACAATAGAGTTTTTGAATGTTATCCATATAAGTGAGAGATCAGTGAAATTTGTTGGTATAATTGGGTTTAAAATTAGCGCTATTTCTCATAGATATTATAAACATTTATTTATTATTAATTAAAGTACAATTAACAATTAAAAGTTATTTATTCATGAATAGTCTCTTATTTTATATATTGACTACAAAAAAGTCCCTGTAATTACTATCAGGCCATTTAGTACACACTTCTAACTCCTTTTCATCACTTTTGAAAAGTTGCATAATTTTTATATTATTTAAAATTTATATCTTTTGAAATATAATTTTTAATTTAAATTTAAATTATTATTTTGCATTTATATTATTTTATGTAGTACTGTATTATTTATGAGTATTATTTAATTGTCAGAGTGAGGTAAACCAGTTAGAATGTTAGCATTATAATTATATGCTTGTCTATTTTAATGGCACATTCATAATATTATGATGATCGTTTCCAGGGTCACCGCAAATATGGCAAGTTTTCAAAGTTATTTATACAAATGAATTTTGTTTAGTTGTAACATTGTAATGTGTTTTACCACATCATAATAATTTTTATTTTAACATTAGGTTATCATTTATCGATTTACATTAATGATTTTTTAATTTTTATTTTATTTAATAAACATGCTGAAATGCCATTAATATTTTTGCAGTAAAATTGTCAAACAATTTCTTATTTATTAAATTAAATAATATTGGTTGAGTTTTGGTAAGTTACTCGTTATATCACCAAAATATGCTAAAAGAAAACATCCTATGTACAATTTGTGGAGACAAATCCAATGGTATAACTTAAATAATTTGATAAATATTATATTTATAAATTTAATAAATATTATATCCGTGAAAAAGGCCGTCATTTTGGTGCCATTACATGTGAATCGTGTAAATTATTTTTTCGTAGAAATGCATTAAAAAATAAGGTAATTATTAATTATAATTAAATTTAATTATTTAAAAATTAATTATTTGCAAAAATAGGATCACTTTAAGTGTTATTCGGGCGGCAATTGTGTGGTAAATATGGAGACGAGAACATTGTGTAAGAAATGTCGTTTAGATAAGTGTTTTGCCGTTGGAATGCAAACTGTGAGTGAAATATATATAAATTATATATAAATAATGAAATATATATAATTATATAATATAATTAATTATAAATTACTTAAATATTATTCTTTTAGAAATTATTTTTTTCGCCAAAAGAACTACAAATAAGAAGAGATATCATTAAAAACATCAAAAAACAAAAACTAATTAATAACTCGTCGATGAATAGCGAGTCAATAGAGGACTCGACTCCCGGTTTATATTCCCCGCAATCGGTGTCCGATTTTATTGACGATATTTTAAGTGAAGACAATATATTAATCGAAATGAACAACAATTCATGTGATGTGATCGACGATGAATTGACTAAATCAGTGATACCTATTATGAGACCAATCAGTGATTACAGCAATACTTTCAATGAATTAGAAGGCAATCGATTGACTGAATTGTTGTCTGCATTGAATTGTTTGGAAAAACCTGTTGTAAAATGTTGTAACTCTATAACACTTGATTACGTTAATCAATGCACTGATATAATAACCAATCAGTTTGAGAATCAATCAAAAAATATTATTCAAACATCAAAATGTCTGAACACTTTTAGGGCACTGAACCAACATGATCAATATACCCTTATTAAATATGCATCCATCGAGATTACTTTTTTGAGAAATATTTTGAATTTTGACTTTGAACAACAATCTTGGAGTTATTCCATGGTAAATGTTGCGTGATATACACTATGATCTATTTACTGATAATGTTTATTTTTTCAATTACTAGAATAATAATGTATATAATCTGAAACTTGATTTATATAAACAAAGTAAAAATAACTCTTATATTAATCAAAAGCGCTTCTTAGCTAATATGGGTCTCGATTGGGATTCCGATACACTTATCATTGATTTGGTTTGTATTAAATTATTATTACGTAAAATAATTTTATAATTAAAAGTTAATTTTTAAAAATATTATAGTTAACGGGAATCATACTTTTCGATCCGAGCCGTCCCAACCTTATTAATAAACCAATGATTAAGTATGACATCCATTGCAAGAATTATTATTTACTACTTTTAAAATATCAATTTATTATAGATTACAACAGAATGTATACATCTATTTATTACAACGATATTTGCAAATGAAATATAAGGCTAATTTATTATCACATGAAAAGTATGTGAGACTTACAAAGGATATAAAATATTTACAAATTTTGAGACAAAAAATTATTAATTTTTCTGTGAGAGAAGTGGACTTAACTCAGAAACCAATTTTTAAAGAGTTGTGTGATTCACCTTAAATATATTTATATACATTAGTAGGCGATCTTGTTGCATTTATTTTAATAACTTACAATTTTATAATTATATACTGTATAGTACAAAATAATTTTCAGTATTTAATTAAGGTAATAAGAATTAAACAATTATTTATTTATATTTAACTTGCTTAAATATTTGTGTATAATCTGTTAAAGAATTGTTATAATTACTAATAAAAGTTCACTTTTAGTTATTTATGCATTAAATTGTTGATAATAACATGGATGATAAAACTATATATTTATTTAGCACAAAATGATTTGGCCAATTAATTTATAATCAAGGCTTAAACCTTCAAATTAGTAAATGATAATAATTTTAAATTACTTTTTGAATTGAAAAAGGTATTTATTCTGGAATTAATAGTGAGATCTAGTGGTAACAGAATAAGTATAATATATAGTATGATGAAAGTTTGCAAGGTCAAAGTAAGTATGGCTGATGCAAGTTTTCAAAGTTCTTATAACATAGTTTGAATAGATATTGTGTATGTTTTAAGTGCAACTGTACTAAACCTGTTTAGTGCAATTCAATAAAAAGTGTAGATGTACAATTTTATAAACATTATTTGATCACAAAATGTTGCCCACTATTATTTACTAATTCACATTAATCATATTAATTTAAGTTTTATTTTAGTAAATAAACATATTCTATTCTATCATACTAGTTATTTTATACTAGTTAAATAATAATAATAATTTATTGTTGTATAACTAAGCTATGTCAAACGAAAACAATCCATGTGCAATTTGTGGATACCGGGCTAATGGTATGCTAAATATAATTAATTATTATAACTTTTAATAAATAATATTAAATATTTGTTGTATTAAAAGGCCGTCATTTCGATGCCATCACATGTGAGTCGTGTAAATCTTTTTTTCGTAGAAATGCACTCAAAAATAAGGTAATTTCAAAAATATAAATGTTAATTAATTTTATAATTACTTGTATTAACTTATTTGTATAAAATAGGATCGCTTTAAGTGCTATTTAAACAAAAATTGTGTGATTAATATCGAGACGAGAAGTGAGTGTAAAAAATGCCGTTTAGATAAGTGTTTCGCCGTTGGTATGAAAACCGTGAGTGAAATATAATTAATTGATTATAAATTACTTATTAATTAAATGTTATTTTTGTTAGAATTTATTTTATTCGCCAAAAGAACTACAAATGAGAAGAGATATCATTAAAAACAATAAAAAACATAAACATAACGATAACTCGTCTATAAATAGCGAGTCAACTGAGACCTCAACTTCTAGTTTATGTTCCCCGCAATCGGTGTCCGATTTTAGTGATTATAACTTCAATGAAAATAGTAATTCAAATGATATAATTGTCTTTGAATTGAATCAATCAGTGATACCTATAATGAGACCAATCAGTGATTACAGCAATACTTTCAATGAATTAGAAGGCAATCGATTGACTGAATTGTTGACCGCTTTGAATTGTATGGCAAATCCTGTGGTCAATGCCGACGGGTATATAACACTGGATTGTGTTAATACTGCGATTAATATTCAACTTAAAAAGTTTGATATTCAAGTAAATCAAGTTATACAAACGTCTAAATGCCTGAACACGTTTATGGCACTGAACGAACATGATCAATTGATCCTAATTAAATACGCGGCCATTGAGATTAATTATTTAAGAAATATGTTAAATTTTAATTTTGAACAACAATCTTGGTGTATTGATATGGTAAATTTATTTGATAATAATCTTGATTAGTTTATTAATTATTTTATTATTTATAATTACCAGAATAATGGCGTATATAATATGAAACTAGATTTATTCCGACAAAGTAAAAATAACTCTTATAATAATCAAAAGTATTTTATGGTTAATATGGGTCTCGACTGGGATTCCGATACACTTATCATTGATTTGGTTTGTATTTATTGAGAGTCATTAGTTTTAGCGGTAAAATTGTTTTATTTATAATTAATTATATAAATTATTTACAGTTAACAGCAATAATACTTTTTGATCCGAGCCGTCCCAACCTTTTAAATAAACACATGATTAAGTAAGTTATTGATTGTATATTTTATTAAATAACTAATTAATTTTTTTTATAGATTACAACAAAATATTTACATTTATTTATTGCAACGATATTTGCAAATGAAATATAAGTCTAATTTATTATCACATGAAAAGTTTGTGAGACTCACAAAGAATATCAAGTTTTTACGGGTTTTGAGGCAAAAAATAATTGAGTTTTCTCTACAAGAAGTGGACTTAACATCTATGCCACTCCTGAAGGAATTGTGTTATTAATCTTAATAATGTATACTGTATCATTTAGTGTTGTATATTGTTTTTCGTACAGTGTAGTAATTTACTATATTATAACAAATACTTTATTTATATAATTATTATAAATTATTATTTTGTAATAAAATTTACTTTTAATTAAAATAAAATAATTAAATGGAAACATATGGTTTGTACAGTGAGTATATTGTCGAATAATTAGTATACAGTATTAAGAATAATACAAAATGTTTCAAATTAGTATTGTGTTAGCAATAATAACATTAGTTTGTGGCAAACCATTAATACCGGCACCGATTCCGTTGCCTAACTTTAACCCATTGCCAATACAAGTACTTGAAGATGGGTTTCAATTGCAACAACTCATTGGACCGGGTGTTCAACAACAGAGATCAGCCGCCAATGCCATACATCAGCGACAGATATTGGCTGATCCGCAACAGAAAGAGTCCACAGCATCGGCTATTCAGGCCCAACAGTTGGCCAACACTAGCGCCCAGTTTGAGGCCATTATCGGTAATCTTATACAACAGAGCGCTTTGGCGGTCAACGATCTCTTTCAGAAACAATTGGCCGGAAGTGGACTACAGTCTCAACACCTGACGGCCGCAACCAATGAGGTCCGACAAATGGCCGCCGTTTTCTTCGACAGACAATTCCACTCTTCGGCTGATTTACAGCAACAGTTGGCGGCCGGAGCTCAACAGGGTTTACAGTGGGCGCTGGGAGTCGGATCTAAACTACCATTCCTTGCCTATGAGGCCATCATATTGCAGCCAAATGTGTCAACAGATAGTCTAACCGCCAATTCATGGCTGCCATATGTTCAACAAATGGCTGCACCCGTAGTCTCTTCGATCATAAATGGCATCGTTAAGAGTTATGTTTAATTAATTAACGTTAAGACTTACGCCCAATAAAAACACTCAACATGTGATACAGCAAATGATAATAATGTTACAAATCAGATAAATAATTATGTGTATCCCATAACTACCAATTAAATGATGCCTGAAAAAATTACCTAACCTGATCATTTTGTTATTAATAATAGTTTTATTAATAGATATGTAATTAATGAGTTTGCGTTTCGCATAATCTAACTGTTGAGTACATTATACAGTATAATAATTGTTGAAATAAATTTTGTTAATGTAATAATTTATTACTAATAAAATGTCAAATAAAAATAAATTTGATGTTTGCATTGTATGCGGTGAACCGGCGAAGGGTATGTTTGAACAAAAATTGAGCATGTTACAATTTTATTAAAATAATCATACATGTTATTTGAATGGGGGATAGGTTATCATTTTGGTGTAATTACTTGTGGGTCCTGTAACTCGTTTTTCCGTAGACATGCACTCATTAACGCAGTAATTATTGATATTATTTTTTAAATTTTTTGACTATTAATAAAACTAAATTATATACTTATCATCAGGATCAATTTAAATGTTTTTTTGGGCGACAATTGTTTACTTAACCGCAAGAACCGTATATTTTGTAAGAAATGTCGTTTAGATAAGTGTTTTTCCGTGGGAATGGATATTGTGAGCAAAATGTTTTTAAAAGTTTTAATATAACATTATTTTAATTCATTAATATTTGGTCAGAATTTATTCCTCAGTGAAAAACAAAAACAATTGAGAAAATCTATTATTGAAAGCAATCGGAAACGAAAAATAAGTAACAGTTTGGTCACCACCGATGAGACCACAGTCTCGACGGTCTGTCTATCACCGCAAACATTGGCTACTTTTAGTAAAAATATTACATGTAATACACATTTGGCACATGATTTGAAAAATAATAATTTGATTGACATTTCAAGCAATAATAATTGTTATAAATTAAATCAGTTAATTGCACCAATCATTAGACCCATTGCTGATTATAGCAATACTTTCAATGAATTAGAGGGCAATAAATTAAGTGAATTACTAAACGGTATTAAAATACTGGCCATTCCTGCGGCCAATAATGGGAACCCTATTGTTGTCAATACGTTTTACGAGGCCATCAAAACAGTACTCACCCGACAGGAGATCCAAATGCGTAAACAAATCAACATGGTCAAAACTATTAGCGCATTCAAAGCATTGTGCGAAAGTGACCAAATGATCTTGATCAAATACTCCGCCTTTGAGATCAATAATTTGCGTATAATCTTAGAGTTTGACTTTCAAACCCAAACCTGGAATCTGACAAATGTGAGCATATTATTTATATTTACAGAATATGACCAAGAGTATTACAGTATATCATTTTGCTAACAAACTTCACTAAAGTAATACATTTATATTTTTCCAAACAGGATAACCAAATATATATATTAAAACTTGATTTACTCGGAACGTCAATATTACAGTCAATTGAAACTTATGATCACTACAACAACTATCAAAGTTTCCTATCAAATATGGGCCTCGACTGGGACTCAGAGACACTAATTATAGACTTGGTTTGTATTTATATTAACCTTGTTTAAAGTTTGATACATATTAATATTTGATATTTAGTTAACAGCGATAGCGCTTTTTGATCCTAATCGACCCAATCTAATCAACAGACAAATGATTAGGTAAGAGATAACTAGATACTATCTATTAATATATTTTTGTAATTAATTTTTTAAAATAATTTAATACCGGTATAATTATTTGCTTACAGACATCAGCAGAATCTTTACATTCATTTATTACAACGATTTCTACAAATGAAATATCGGTCGGAATTTTTGTCGAAACAAAAACTCAATCGTTTAATTGAAAACTTGAAAGAATTGCATATTATTGATCATAAAATGAGTGAAATATCTAAAAATTTGCCCATTTTGAATTTAATTACAGGGTATAACATTCAAATTCCTGCACTTTCACTCGAATTATTAGATAGGTAATTTATAACATTTTTAACATATAGCGTGTAATACCATGTATTATCATAAGAATCCCTTACTATAACATTATATTAATACAAGTAATAATAAAAACTTTGTAATTATGTTTTTGAAAATTTTATTTTAATCAATTTGTAAAATTCTGTGCTTAAAAAATGTACTAAAATGCAAACCAAAATATGTCACATATTTATTATACTGTAGTTGTCAAAGCATTATTAGCATTTATAATTATATTGTTTATGCATTTTGTTTACTGTGGGTTGAATAAATTTTATCGTTAGTAAATAATAATTATCTTTTAGATAAGTAATTATTTGTTTTCCCAGGGTCACCAGTAAAACATGGCTGAACTAACATTGTTCAAGTATTTATATTTGTTAAAATGATTTAATATTGTTAATGCAATTGTAATGTACTATTAATTGACAACTATTTAAAAAATAAATAACTAACATTAATGTTATGTTTGCTAATTTTTACTAAAGTTATCTTGTATATACAGTATTTAAAATAAATAATGTCATTATTTTATTAATGTGTAAATAATAAAAGTTTGGTTTTGAATAGTATTGTGTGAAAATAGTTGTAAAGTTTTTTCATTATTTAGTAAAATACTGTTTCCCACAATCAAATGCCGGACAAAAACAAAAGTAATGTTTGCCTCGTTTGCGGCAATAGGGCAACGGGTATGTGAGACTACTAGTTGACCATGGTTACTAATTGTAATAATTATAAATGTTATTTATGATGGTTAATAGGTTCTCATTTCAATGCAATCACTTGTGAGTCCTGTAAGTCATTCTTTCGGAGGAATGCACTCAACAAAGCGGTAATTATTCAACAATTATAGTATTGTTAATATTTTCATTTGTTTTTGACTAAAATTAAATTATTTTTAAAATATTAGGATATATTTAAATGCTTTTTGGGCGGCAATTGTCTGATTGATCGCAAGGACCGAAACATTTGTAAAAAATGTCGTTTAGATAAGTGTTTTGCTGTCGGAATGAAAACAGTGAGTGAAATGCAATGCAATGTATACTTTTTGTAATTAATAATATTATTAACAAATTTTTTCCAGAATTTATTCTTCACTGAAGAGCAAAAACAATTAAGAAAATCTATTATTGAAAGCAATCGGAAACGAAAATTAAGTGACACTTCGGTCACCACCAATGAAATAGCGGTCTCGACGTCTAGTCTATCCCCGCAAACATCGGCTACTTTTAACGATGAGATTACTTGTGATACAAGTTTTGAAAATTTGTTGACAGATCTAAATAACTTCTCAAACGATAGCAATTCATATGAATTGTATCAATCAGTTGAGCCAATTATAGCGCCGATCACTGATCACAGCAATACATCGACTACTTTTAGCGATGAGATTGATCTTGATATAAGTTTTGCAAATATTTTACAACAAGACAATAATCTAAACAATGCTGTAAACGATACTAATTTAAATAACTTGAATCAATCAGTTGTGCCAATCGTGCGGCCGATCACTGATTACAGCAATACTTTCAATGAATTAGAAGGCATTAAATTAAGTGAATTACTTAACGGCATGAATATACTGGCTATTCCTGCGGCCACTGATGGGAACCGTTTAGTATTGAATACCTTTAACGATGCCATCAAAATAATGGTCGGCAGACAAGAGACAGAAATACCAAAAATAATTAAAATGTGCAAAACTATGGGTGCATTCAAAGCCCTGTGCGAAAATGATCAAATGATCTTGATCAAATACGCCGGTATTCCAATAACTATAATGAGAATGATCTTATTTTTTGACTTTGAAATGCAAGCCTGGAATGTGACAAACGTGAGAATATTGACCATGTCATTTTTTTCTATTAATTATTTAAAATAATTTATTTTTTGTACACAGAATAACCAAATATGTGTATTAAAACTTGATGCACTTCGACACAACTTGTTTAGTAAAATGGATTACATTAATCCGTATTTTAATCATAAAAATTTCTTATCAAATATGGGCCTCGACTGGGACTCCGAGACACTTATTATCGATTTGGTTTGTATTTATAAATTTTAAAAATATTTTTATCTTAAGTTTTAAGTAATTTATATTAATATTTAACTATTAGTTAACGGCTATAATACTATTTAACCCGGATCGACCAAAACTTACAAACAAATCATTTATTAAGTAAGCTATAAAAACTTTACAACTATACAAATGACTATTATTTATATAATTTAATTTTAAATTTTATTAAATTTATTTGCTAACAGACATCAGCAGAATATATACATTCATTTATTACAACGATTTCTCCAAATGAAATACCGGTCCGAATGCTTGTCTCACCAAAAGCTCAATCGTTTAATTAACAATTTAAAGGATTTATGTATTATTGACCGTAAAATTTGTTTTGTAACCAAACACATGCCTGCTATAAATAAATTAACAGGCTATAACGTACAATTTCCACAAATTTGTCTAGAATTATTTGATAGGTGATTTATAAAAGCTATATTTGTTTTACATTCATGATACCATCAGAAATTTCATTGTAATATAATTAACAATAAAATTAATAAAATGCAATATATCTGTAAAGGTTATTACACTACTCTTTAAATTAAATAAATATTTTGTAAACAAATTATACGTTTATCATTAAAATGTGAGTTTATTTACAAAACTTGTACTCAAAAGTACTCAAAAAACAAATTATCATTTATTTATTTGTCAAAATATTTGTATTTATTGTTAGTTATTATCAATTATACTTTGACTTGATTTTACTAACTAATGATTAGGATCTATCTAGATATGTTGAACAAATTGAAATTAGATAAGCCATTAATGACACTACATTACATTAATTGTAACATGGTTGAACAATCAGTATAAACTCTTTTAATTAGTTAAGATATAGATAATAAGTCTGTTAAATAAAGTAAAATAAATATTAGTTTATTAAACTAACATTAATGTAGAAAAATATAATTTAATGATTAATAAATTTCACTATTATTTTAAAGAAAGGTTTTGAAAAACCTTTTTTAATGAATATTTTTTTTATAAATAATAATATAATAATACATAAATAAAGTTTGCGATTCCTATTCATTTGTGATATCGATTCTGTTGGCTAACAAGCAACATAAAACATGCATGTTGAGTAATTTATATTGAAATATAATCAAATGGCGGATATAAACAACAGTTTTATTTGCCGCGTATGCGGTGATAAGGCGACGGGTATGTGAGACCACTAATTGAACATGTTTAATTTAATTTATAAATGTCATTTTGATGGTGAATAGGTTGTCATTTTGGTGCGTTCACATGCGAGTCATGTAGATCGTTTTTTCGCAGAAATGCACTCAACAAAGTAGTAATTATGAACAATTACAATTACTCGCCATAAATATTGTATTAACTGTAAGCATGTCTTTAACATTAGGATAAATTTAAATGCTTTTTGGGCGGCAATTGTCTGATTGATCGCAAGAACCGAAACATTTGTAAAAAATGCCGTTTAGATAAGAGTTTTGCTGTCGGAATGAAAACTGTGAGTGAAATATATTAGACATTTAAATTGATAACAATTTTTATTAATAATCTTTGAACAGAATTTATTCTTCACTGAAAAGCAAAACCAGTGGAGAAAATATCTAATTGAAAGCAATCAAAAACAAAAATCAAGTGACACTTTGATGACCACCGATGAGATAGTGGTTCCGAGTCTATCGTCGCAATCGTTGACTGATTTTATTAGTAATATATTTTGTGATAGTAATCATTTAGCACAAGTCAGTCATCCAAATAGTAGTTTAAATAATATAAATTCAAATGATTTGAATCAATCAGTTGTGCCAATTGTGCGGCCGATCACTGATTATAGCACTAATTTCAATGAATTAGAAGGCAATCGATTGAATGAATTACTAAACGGTATTAAAATACTGACCATTCCTGCGGCCAATTGTGGCACCGGTTTAGTAGTGAATAGTTTCGCCGATTCTATGAAAGCAATAATAGGCAGACAGGCGTTGGAAACGGAAAAACTGGTCCAAATGTCCAAAACTATTAGTGCATTTAAAGAGTTGTGCGAAAATGACCAAATCATCTTGATTAAACACGCGGCCATCAAGGTTAAATACTTGCGTATGCTTTTAGACTTTAACTTTGAAACGCAAACCTGGAATCTGCTAATTGTGAGCTCATTGACCATCATGTAATTTGTAATAATATTGATGTTTTTTATTCAGAATAATCAAATATATTGTATAAAACTTGATATATTTCGGGAAACAGTATTCAGTAAAGTAGGAGATCTAAACTTTTATTGGGAACACAAAAGTTTTTTATCAAATATGGGTCTCGACTGGGAATCCGATACACTTATTATTGATTTGGTTTGTATTTTTAATTATTATATTTCTACTCTAATTAATTAATTAATAGATAATTACTTAATATATCATTTTTAGTTAACAGCAATTATATTGTTTAATCCAAATCAACCCGATTTAGTCAATAAACAAGTCATTAAGTAAGTCATTAAGCTAAATACAGAATTATTAATTAATCTGTAACTATTATTATATTATACAGTATATTTATTTGTTTACAGACATCAGCAGAATATATACATTCATTTATTACAACGATTTCTACAAATGAAATATCGTTCGGACGTTTTGTCGAACCGAAAACTCAATCGTTTAATTGAAAACTTAAAAATTTTAAATATTATCGACTATAAAATTTGTAACGTAACAAAACACGTGTCTATTTTAAACTCATTAAGTTCATTTGGTATACAATTTCCACCACTCTGTCTCGAAGTATTTAATAGGTGATTTATAAAAGTTAATATTATTGTATTATATTTACTAAAGTAACATTTTTATTTAACTTATAACTTAAAGTAAATTTTTGTTTTTATATTTATGAATAAATAATCATTGAAATTTATTTTGTCATAAGATTTATACTTGTGTGTAAAGTTAATAAAAATAAATAAGACAAATAAACTAATTAAATTTACTAATTAGCAAATTAATAAACTGATATTAATAGGGAACTATTAATATTTAAAATTAATAAAGTTTATAATTATTTTAAAGTAACCATAATGGAAAAATGCAATTGTTATCAGTATTTATATTTATTTTAATGTGTACACATGATGTATAAATAAAGTTTGCATTCATTTATTAATAGTTATCTAGTATTTAATAATGAAATTATTGCACAATCAATAGTTTAGTACAATTAAATGGCGGACAAAAACAAGAGCGATGTTTGCCGTGTATGCGGTGATAAGGCGACGGGTATGTACGGCCACTAATTGAGCATGTTGATTTTATTTAATTTATTAAAAATACCGTTTTGATGGTAACTAGGTTTTCATTTCTCTGTAATGACGTGCGAATGTTGTAAATCATTTTTTCGTAGAAATGCACTCAACAAAGCAGTAATTATTCACTACTATTTAAATGTTATACTAATTATATCGTTAACATTAGGGTAAATTCAGGTGCTATTTGGGCGGCAATTGTCTAATTAATCTCAAAAACCGCAAAACCTGTAGAAAATGTCGTTTGGATAAGAGTTTTGCCGTCGGAATGAAAATTGTGAGCGAAATATTCTGTAGAAATTTTTATGAAATTTTTAATGAATAAATATGTAACCACAATTGACCAGGAACTATTTTTCACTGATGAACAAAAACAAAAGCGAAACTCTATTATTGAAAACAATCGGAAACGAAAATTAACTGAAACTCCGGTCACTAACGTTGAAATAGCGGTCTCGACGGCCAGTCTATCCCCGCAAACATCGGCTACTTTTAGTGAAGATATGGCGACTCTGAGTTGTTCATCGCAGTCATCCATGGATTTTAATAATGATATTTCTAGTGATAATAGTTTTGCAAATATCTTAATACCGGAAAATACTCTAAATAACATCACAAACGATACCAATTCCTATGATTTTAGTCAAGCAATTGTGCCAATCGTGCGGCCGATCACTGATTATAGCAATAATTTCAATGAATTAGAGGGCAATCGATTGAATGAATTGCTAAACGGTATTAAAATACTGGCTATTCCTGCGGCCAATAGTGGGAAGCGTTTTGAGTTAAACACATTTCCCGATGCAATGAAAGCACTGATCACCAGACAGGAGACCTCTATTCAAAAACTCGTAGAAATGTGCAAAACTATTGGCCCTTTTAAAGCCCTGTGCGAACATGATCAAATCATCTTGATCAAATATGGGGCCATCAAGGTTAAAACTTTGCGTATGCTTTTAGACTTTGACTATGAAACGCAAGCCTGGACTCTGCCAAACGTGAGCCTATTTACCATAATTGTTATGTATTTGACTGATATATCAATGTTTTTCAAACAGAATAACCAAATATATTGTATAAAATTGGATTTATTTCGGGATGTGTTTCAAACAGTTGGAAATTTTAACGCTTATTCTGATCACAAAAGCTTCATAATGAATATGGGCCTCGACTGGGACTCAGAGACACTAATTATAGATTTGGTTTGTATTTTTAATTATTAAATAATATTATAAATTAATATTAATAATAATTTAACTTATAGTTGACGGCTATTTTACTGTTCAATCCAAATCAACCCAACCTTATCAACAAACACATGATTAAGTATTAAATTGAGTTCTTTTACCTAGCTCATTGTAATAATATATTTGCTATTTTGTTATATTAATTTCCATCTAGACATCAGCAGAATATATACATTCATTTATTACAACGATTTTTACAAATGAAATATCGTTCGGACTTTTTGTCGAACCGAAAACTCAATCGTTTAATTGAAAACTTAAAAGTTTTAAATATTATTGATCATAAAATATGTGGAATATCCAAGTTTCCACCTGCTCTAAATTTACTTAATATGTGTAACATACAATTTCCACCACTTTGTCTTGAAATATATGATAGATAAATTACCCGTATATGAAATGCACTTGTTAATATACTATATTTAAATAAACTTGTACTAAATTAAGATTAGTTAAAATTACTTACAATACTTTAAATAACTGATTATGTAATGTAATTATATTTTAATTGAGTGTTTATATATTTAATATTATGTAACACCGATTTTTAAATTTGCCAATAAATTCACTATTTATAAATGTTTAGATTTTGCTAAACTTTATTAATAAACTAGTATTTTAAGTGCATTTTGATAACGAACTAACTTATGGATTGGATATAACTTATCACATGGTAAGCAAACAACAAATCAGATAAATAATTATTGATATCACAAAGATAATATTTTTAACATGGCTGAAATAGAGTTTGATATTTTTAATTTATGATGATAATTTGTTTAACACACAACATTTTCAAGATACTTGTATATTCAATATAATATCTTCAATAATAAATCAAAACAACTGGATCTCACTTTTATGCAATATTTATTTTGCAATAAATATACTTGAATAATTAATATTTTTATTTTATTGTGTTTACAGAACTACTATCTACTATAAAATACATAAACAAATTTTATGATGTGTTTAGTTATTTAATTATAATATTATTATAATACTTTTTCAAATTAAATGTCGAGCAAAAGTAGAAATATTTTATGTCAAATATGTGGTGAAAAGGCGACGGGTATGTGAGATGATCAATTAAACAATTTATGAAACATGCATTTATAATTTTGATGCTCAATAGGTTCCCATTTTAGTGCAATAACTTGTGAATCGTGTAAATCATTTTTTCGTAGAAATGCAATCAACAAAGTGGTAATTATTTACAAATATATTTATATCTACATTTATAATGATTTTATACTGTGTTATTATGTGTCTTACATTAGGATCAATTCAAATGCTTTTTAGGCGGCAATTGTCTGATTGATCGCAAGAACCGAAACACTTGTAAAAAGTGTCGTTTAAATAAGTGTTTTGTCGTAGGAATGAAAATTGTAAGCAAAATCTTATAAAATTTATTAAATAATTTTTTTTAATTATTTACAATTTTTTTGCAGAGTTTAATCCTTAGTGAAGAACAAAAACAATTGAGAAAATCTATTATTAAAAGCAATCGGAAATCAAAATTAAGCGATACTTCGGTCACCACCGATGAAAGTGCGGTCTCGACGGCCGGTCTATCCCCGCAAACATTGGCTACTTTTACTGATGAGATTAATCTCGATATAAATTTTGAAAATATTTTACCACAAGATAATAATCTAAACAATATTTTTGATTTGCAAACGTTTAGTGTAAACTATATTGCAAACGATACCAATTTATATCAAATGAGTCAATCAGTTGTGCCAATTGTGCGGCCGATCAGTGATTACAGCAATACTTTCAATGAATTAGAAGGCAATCGATTGACTGAATTATTAAACGCTATGAAAACACTGGCCATTCCTGCGGCCACTAATGGGAACCGTTTAGTATTGAATACTTTTGCCGAAGCAATCAATACAATGATAACTCGACAGGAGATTGAAATTCATAACCTGGTCAAATTGAGCAAAACTATTAGCGTATTGAATAGTCTGTGCGAAAATGATCAAATGATCTTGATCAAATACTCTGCTATTAAGATTAAAACTTTGCGTATGTTTTTAGAGTTTGACTTTGAAATGCAGGCTTGGAATTTGGGAAATGTGAGATTATTACACCATATTCTTATATTTAATACATTATTATTTAATGTATTTAGTGTATTTAATGCAATAAATTTATTATTTAAAATACTTTATTATTTTTAATTTTTTATGATTAAATTTATTAACAGATTTCAAGACCATGTATTTTAAAACTGGATTTACTTCAACACACAATCTATGACATAATAGACACATCCTTTAATCCTTATAACAATATAAAAGTTTTTCTATCAAATATGGGCCTCGACTGGGATTCCGAGACAATAATTATAGATTTGGTTATTATTGAATTTTTACAATTATTTTTTTTAATAAGTAATAATAGAAACATTGTATTAATAATTGTTGTTTTATTTTCAGCTGACAGCTATAACACTGTTTAATCCGGATCAGCCAAACCTTATAAACAAACAAGAGATTAAGTTAGATATTAAAGTTTATAACTTTTAATATATAACATATTTGTAAAAATATTTATTTTTGTATAGACATCAACAGAATATTTACATTCATTTATTACAACGATTTCTACAAATGAAATATCGGTCGGAATTTTTATCAAGCAGAAAACTAAATCGTTTAATTGACAACTTAAACTATTTAAATATTATTGACCACAAAGTTTGTTATATAATTAAACAAATGCCTATTTTAAAAGCATTTAATGAGTTTGGTATACAATTTCCACCACTTTGTCTTGAAGTGTATGATAAATAATATTTAAATCATTATTTGTTTAATAATTATAAAATCTTTTTTATTTCTATTATATTATTTTAATAAATAATTTTATAATGTTATTAACAAATGAGGTAATAATAATATTCTTAATGAGTTTTTCATTTTGTAAAAGTTGTACTCAAAAGTACTAATAAACTTATTGTTTGTTTTGTGTGCAATAAATTATTTGTCAAAATACTGTTCATATTATCAATATTTAAGTATAAGTTTCATACAAACTATAGACTTGGGTCTAAATAATAAGAGTTGCTCTCAATAACTATGAAGTTTATAATTCAAGTGAATAAACACTTGTATTAACGGGTGATTTACAGTAATTGATTGACACATGACTTAATATTATTTAATATAAAAATAATAATATAAATGTTTATTAATTAGCGCAGAGATTGATAGGATTTAATGACCAAAATGTATTTATTTCGTAGCAATACTTTGTGATATTATGGACTCTGATCTGAACCAATAATTACTGTTAGTAAATAAAGTTTATATTTATGTCAATATTTTCTTAATTGATATTGATTATTTTTATACATCCTTTATTATTAACTTAATGAGTTATATTGAAATATTTTGAACAATAATTTTTACTATATTAATTAGCTCTTATTATTTTACTTTTATTTTTATATAACATACAGTACATTACATTACGTACAGCTACTTTATAATTAGCATTTCATAATACACTAGGTAATAGGATACCAAGATACTTTAACCAAGTTACTAGACAAAACTGGTGCATTAGCTAGATTATTTGAAGGTTAGTACAAAATACTTACACAAATAAAATAAAATATTTAACGTTTTATAGAAAGTAAGCTATAATAAGTACTATAATAAATTAAAACAAATAAAACAAAAACTAATTTTATTGGATATCTAAACATATAATTACATAAGTATTTGCAATAAATTATAGCATATATACTGTTTGTGCCAAATCTTTATAAATGACGTTTAGATTTTAGTGAAGGCATTTTTAGAGAATGCTCTGGTACATTTTGCCTCTACATAAATTGTGTATGATCAAGATAGGTTATAAAGTATAGTAACTTGTAATACAAATTAGATCCAAACTAGTGTTACTTCGGTGCAATTCCTTACACTTTCGTACAGAAAAATGCATTTTTCTCTTGAAATACTACTTTTGATTCAATTAATTACTGATTGATAACACATTATAGCCAATGAATGCCAAGTGTTTAATTAAATATACAGTAAGTGTAGATATTTAGCTCTTAATAATATTAAGTTAATATACACTACAGTATCTATAATATGATGGTAAAACTCTGTAGGGGTATTCATACAGGGCAATTCATTTTGTATTATTAAAACACTCGTGATGGTTTATGAAGCAATATATTTGTAATAACATTTCATTCGCTGTGGTATATGTATGAGATAATAGACATCTTGAATGTTATATAATAAATATTAATAACATCACAGAATTTATTGTACAATTTTGGTACAATAAAACATTAATGCACTTTATTTGTAAAAGTCATTTAAAACTCACTAATTAATAAATGCTTTGATGTTTATAAATAAATCAATAAATTATTTGAGTTATTTTTGTTCAAGAATTTATATAAATTTTTTTTAAATAAATAACAAATACTATTAAATTAAAAAGTTAACATTAATTTTAATAATTATAATATTCTTAATGCCAAATAGAAAGTGTAATAAAGTTTGCTGGATATGTGGCGACAAAGCCAGTGGTATGTATTGACAAAGTTATCATGATATTTTATACAAATTAAAATTATTATCAATATAATAATTTATTATTAATAAATGCTTACTTCGTATTTGAAACGAAATGTTATTTTAATCATGATACAATTTAATCATTTTAATCATGTATAAAACTCATGTTTTAAAGTCAATTACTAAACATAACATTATAATACATACATAACATGTGTTTTAGATATTTATCACGTTATAATCAAATTAAATATTACTTTCTATTTAGGCTTTCATTTCGATGCCATGAGTTGTGAGTCTTGTAAGTCATTCTTTAGGAGGAATGCTCTCAAAACCATTGTATTTATTATTATTATTACTTTTATAAATAAATAATTGAAACAAATAATTATATTAATTATTAAAACACTTGATTTAGGATAAATTAAAGTGCTATTTGGGAGGCAATTGCAAAATAGATGTCTTAAACCGGACTTTCTGTAAGAGATGTCGACTCGAGAAGTGTTTCGAAGTGGGAATGAAAACCGTATGAAATAAATACAATACAAAAACAATTTCATATAAATTTAAATTCACATAAAACTAAAAACATTTTAATATTGCATTTGAATAGAAATACATTTACTCTGAAGAGCAGAAAGCGATGAGAAAGGCTCTGATAGAGGAGAATAAAGTGCGAAAAATGCAAAATTTGGGCCAAAGTCAGGGACTGGCGGTTGTGTCTAACGGAGAGTACGACTGGTCCGCATCGGACTCGTCGTCGACCACAATGACGAGTCCAGTGGTGGACACCTGTGAGGACAATAGAGAGGATCCGTTGGAATTCCTGGAGAAAGAGGTGTTCTCGGAGGAGGAGGTGAACGCCGAGATCGTGAGGATTGAAAACTACATTTCCGGCAATAATATGACAAACGTTTGCGAAACGGTGTTTGAAAAGGTGGCCGAACTCGAGCTGACAGTACTGCCGATCCCGAGGCCCAGTGTTGGCCACACGTTGACCACGTTTGACGAGTCCGAGGGCTTCAAACTGACCGAACTCTTTGAGGCGATTAAACTGATCCGACATCCGGTCGATCGGATCGACTGCCAGGAGATACCCAACAACTATTGGGGAGCCGTTCACGTCCTGCACTCGACGTGCGATAACGATATCAAACATATAATCAAAATGTGTAAATCGCTGAACGCGTTCCGGGGCCTCGAGGAGTGTGACCAGATTGTCTTGCTCAAATACGCCTCCATCGAGATCGTGGTACTCCAAATGGTATTGAGTTTTGATTTTGAGCACAAGTTTTGGGATATAATCACGGTATGAATTATATTTTACATTATATTATTTGTAATTATTAATCATTTATACTAAAAAATTTTAATATTTTGTTTGTAAATATTTATGTGTTTAATTAATAGGATAGCCATTACTCCCATATCATCCGTTTAGAGCTCTTAAAGTCTAGCAATACTTACGTAAACCATAAAAATTTTCTACAAAATATGGGACAGGAATGGGATTCAGACCCCGTTATCATTGATTTGGTAATTGATTATAAGTACATCAGATATATAATTTATACTATAAACTTCTATCTGAATACTATAGAATAATTATAGATATCATAATAAAATAAACATGTTAATAATATATGATTAACATAAACTGTAATTACTTTAAATAGTTAACCGCAATATTGCTTTTTAATGCCAATCGGCCGAAACTGGCGAACAAGGACTTAGTCAAGTGAGTACATACCTGCAATTATGAGTTTAAAAATCAATTCAATTAAACACTATCTCAATTTACACGGACCATAGGCTCGAACAGCAGACATACATGTATTTACTTCAACGCTATCTCCTATTGAAATATCATTCAGTTTCGGACTCAAAATCAAAATTTTTACGGCTATTAAACCATTTGACAGATTTGGAAATTTTGAATGAAAAGGTGGCACTAATTGTGAACAACAAAAAAGATTATTTCCCACTAATGAAAGAGATTTGCAATCGTTAGACCAAATACTGATCATTTAATTAAACATTATCATAATATTCACGCATTTGTTAATTGTAATTTTTAAATAATATATGATTTACTAAATATAAAATATTACTGTTTTTTAGCTCAATAAATGGTTGAACAATTATTACAACATGTTATGGTCCATAACTTATGGACAATTATTTTTAAAAACTTGTGATATTATTATTTATTTTGTTTCAATGCAAAAATAATTATAAAATAATTTGACCTGTAGTTATTTATTCTTGAATTGCATTTCCGATATTAAAATGTTTTACACATTAAATTACAATTTAAATTAACCACGCTATATTTTTAATTAAATAGTAATTGAAGAAGTAGTTAAATGGATGTTGTTATAAACCTAAAAATATCTTAATTCAGTAAGATGGTTAAATATACATTACTTGAATATTTTATTATTAGTTAAACGTTTAAATATTTGCACTCTATCTCTTGAGTATACAAGAACTTTAAATGAGCATGGTCTAAATGGTGTGCACCCTATTTCATTAAATCAATATACTGTATAATAATATTATGCTATAATAGTAATAAATTAATAATAATAATGCGATTCTTATAGATTTTTACATGTACCTTGTTTATTAAGTGATACTTTATTGTTGCAATTATAGATTGCATTAATTAATACAGTTATGGTACAGTATAGTACAGTTTCCTTAGAAACTTGATGTTGGTTAAAGATACAAATTATATAATATAGCTGTTTAAATAATAATGTCAAACTACTTTAGTTATATAAAGTTGTAAATTCTGAATAAAACATAACAATTTAAACACTAGATTATTTTATGAACCGTTTATGAATCAAATCAATGATAAGTGTGTGGTTTGTGGTGATAAAGCAAGTGGTAAATTTAAATTAAACTTTAAAAAATTATATAATCAGGTTGATAATCGTGGTAATATGTTATTATTTATTTTAATTAAGGTAGAAATTTTAGCGCAATTACGTGCGTGTCCTGTAAAACAATATTTCGCAGGAATGCCTCTAAGTATGAGGTATTTAAATATTTTTCTGTTTTTATAATAACTTATTGATTGTAATTAAAATCAATTATTGTGTTTTACAGTCATTTAAGTGCTATTTTGAAAACAACTGTCCGATCGATGTCTTGAGGCGACGATTCTGTAAGAAATGTCGTCTAAAAAAGTGTTTCGACGTCGGAATGAAAAGAGTGATACAATTCTCGCAATTATTTTTGGCAATTATTTTAATAATTAGTTTTCACACAATTTTTTTAGGAGAATATTTTGTCGGAAAGCGAACGAAAAAAGAGACAAATAATTATAAAAGAAAACAGAGAGAAAAGACAATTAATATCTGAGACAATAGCTGTTGAAACTAACCCTAAATTTGACACAAATATAATTGTTAGTTATATGAACGGTGCAAACAATGTAGCACATTCTTACAGATATCTTGGTTGTTTGACTAATAATTATGCAAATTGCAAAATGTTGCATGATAGCGAGACAATTGATTGGTCAAGCTCAAATTATATGCCCATTGGCCGTCAAATATACAACAATAATGATAATTATTTCAATGACATGGAAGTAATCCGATTGACTGAATTATTTAATGCCACCAAAATTAGCTCGTTGTCAAAGATCACATCAGCTAAACAAATTGATTACATTAATGATTATTTGGATTATAACATACACTCAAAAACAATCGGGTGTCGACTTTTGGCCTTATATTTAGAGCAATACATTCATAAGTTTGTGAATGTGGCCAAACATATAGAGGCGTTTGACAGTTTGTGTGACCAGGATCAAATCTCTATTATTAAATATGGGTCTATCGAGACGGGCCTATTGAGGTCTCTCCTGTATTTTGTATTTGAATTTCAATTCTTGGTAAAAGTTTTGTTTGTTTTTTGTATTTATATTCTATAAAAACATTTAAATAACTATTTTTACAGAATGAAGAGAATTGTGTTTTATTTGATTTAAAGTTTGTCCGAGACTTTAAGGCATATAATAATAAGTTTTGCGATGAAAATATTTTTATTAAGATATTGGGCAACGACTGGGACTCCGATAGATATGTCATAGATTTGGTAATTAATGTTTTGCTTTTAAATAGTATTTTATATTATCTATTGATTTAACTCATTGATTATTAGGTGACAGCAATCATACTATTCAATCCAAATAGACCTCATTTAATTAATAGGGAGGCAATTAAGTAAGCAATTAATTTATCATCATTAAAACCTATTTACCAACTTAAATTCTCTTATTAGTTTTCAACAACACGTTTACATACATTTGCTTAAGAAATATTTTTGCCTCAAATACCGGTCAGAATACGAGTCGAGCGTTAAGTTTGCGAATGCATTGAATTGTTTGCATAAATTGTATTCAATGAACGATTTAATCGCAAACACTATATTAACCGCTGATCCAAACAATTGTATGCCTTTAATGAATGAAATCTGTGACAGAAATTATTCATAAAAATATAAATTGTAATTTAATTTAGAAATTTTTAATTAATAATAAAATTATTTAATTATTTAAATAAAAATAAAATGCTATTAACATTATGCTGAAAAAGTCTATTATTAGTAATTAAAATTGTTGAAATAAAACATGTAACATTTAGATATGCCAATATACCCAATTCAATATGCCAAATTTTTTGTTCAATAACTTAATAAATTAATTCTGTTATTATTATTATCAGACATAAATAAACAATAAGCTAAAAATTACTATTTCTATTGCAGTCCAGCACTTATTAAGTACTCGCAAATGATAATGATCTTGATAGTAACATAAGATAATTTATATAGTATTGCTGAAACAAATGAAAAAACCCGGATTTAAAAATATTTAGATGGCATGTGCCTGTTATCAATTAATAAATGCTAATCATGGCTCATGATATACATACATTTATGTAATTTTTAATTACGATTATATATCATAATGTATTTTATGATTCTGTTCATAAGAAATATGACATCGTTTTTGGGTATTTACTGCAATTTTGTTGATGAAATCATTGTATGGGGGCATTAAAACTCAATTCTTATCACTTCATGGATATTATATATTAAAGATATCAAACATATCGCCTTAAAATCACTGTTATATACATATAGTTTATATAAGATAATTTAGTAACATATGCACTGTATACCAGGTTCGCATATACCCTTAATTAATAAACTGTATGCTATACGTGTGGTAATCGGATAAAAGCCCTAAATTACCATGGTCTCCTTAGGAACCTATTATTACATTGCTAATAAATATAGAATGAAATGTCTAAAGTTTTTATTTGACTCAATTCAGGTCTACAATAACAGTCAAACAAAATCTTTAATTTAATATAGAATTGTTTAAAATATCAAACTTTGTAAATAATTTAATGGAGAAAATATGTTTGATTTGTGGCGACAAAGCTCTTGGTAAAAGTTTTATTGGATTACATTTAAACCTTTTAAGATTAAGTTTAAATATTTTAGCTTGCTAATTAAATCATGTTTTTAAAATGTCATTATATAAATAAATATTTTTACTATATACGGCATTTATAAAATATGTAATAATTAATATAATTTTTGATTATTTAGGCAAGAATTTTAATGTATTATCATGTGTGTCTTGCAAAACAATTTTTAGTAGAAATGCACTCAATTATGAGGTATGAAATGTTTATATAAAAATAATATATAATATAAATTATTGGATAATAAGTTATTATTATTATTACTAATAAACATATCATTATTTCCAACAGAACTTGAAATGTAATTTCAATAACAACTGTCCGATCGATGTCTTAAAGAGAAGATTCTGTAAAAAATGTCGACTCAAAAAGTGCTTTGATATGGGAATGAAAAAAGTGATACAAACTAATTGTTATTTAATTGTTTATTCAAATTGTATTTACATTTGATGTCTAAATGCAATTATTTAGGAGAATATTCTGGACAAAGACGAGAGAGAATTGAGACTAAATATAATTAAAGAAAATCGTTGGAAGAGAAAAATGGTGTCCAATGCTGTCAACACTGCGATTGAATCACCAAGCATAAATAAACATGCTTATTTAGATCAAACATTTACCATGTTTATAAATGACAAATTAATAAATAATGATGTTAACAATACAACCAATATTAACAAAAGCACTACTGATAGCAATATTAATGCAAATGAAAAAACAGTATTAAATAATCACATGTATAGCAAAGCGGCCGAACAGCACATGCCGTCCATCCCATCAATCGACGGGCCCTTAACTGAAAGCAACAGTTTTAATGATATGGAAGTAAATCGTTTGCGTGAATTGTTTGACTCGATTAACAACAAATACATTAACCACGCGGTGAAAAAGATCACATCCAGGTATGAATTGGATGTGATCCACAATTTTAGGAACAAATCGGTGACCGGAACGGTGGCAATGGCTCTGTCGGCCATACATCTGGAAAGGATTGTCCAGAAATGCATCCAAATGTTCAAAGATATTGAGGCTTTTGGCACTTTCTGCGAGAGTGACCAGATTTGTCTCCTTAAGTACGGCTCCATTGAAATCAATTTCCTGCGAGCAGTCATGCGATACAACTTTGCCGGCGAGTATTGGACACTAAATCTGGTTATTATTTTTGTAAAATATTTTATAAATTAGTTGTATATTTATTTATTGATTACTAATTACAGGACAACGAGACGTCAGTGGTGTTTAGTTTGGATGTATTGCGTGAATGCAAAATAAGCACTTATTATAATCATAAGATATTTTTAAATAAAATTGAAAACGCTTGGGATAAAGACCCTCATATTATTGACTTGGTAATTAAGTTAAAACTTTTAATAATTTGTTAAAATTTGTTAAATAATTTGTTATATATTTTGCATATAAACAATTTAGATGACCGCTATCCTTTTATTTAACCCGGATCGTCCCAATTTAATTAACAAAGATGTGGTTAAGTAAGTATTAAACACTTAATAAAATTAAAACATTATTATTCGTTAAAACTTTAAAACATATTAAACTTTATAACAGATTTCAACAAAACATTTACATGTATTTACTTTACAAATATCTTAAAATAAAATACCGGTGTGAATACGAGTCAAGGATTAAATTCTTGAGATTATTAAATTGTTTGACAGATTTATATGTAATGAACGATAAAATAGCCAAAAACCTCTTAAAGGCTGATCCCGAGCATCACATGCCTCTTATGAATGAGATTTGCCACAGAAATGAATTGTAATTAAATTATAATTAATGTAAATAAGACTACAATAAAAATATGTATGATATTTAAATTCATTACTTTATTACTAAATAACAAATGTTTGTTTGTTGACAGCTAAATTGACCATAATCCATTTAAATTTATAAAAGTTATTATTAGTAGCTTAAAATTTGCGATAATTTAATTTTATATTATAATAATTTGCTTTAATTATTTGCATGTAGATTCTTAACTTCAAAAAATCTGCAAATTCTCAGTATACAGTATGACAAAGAATGACATTAATTGAACTAGCAACTTTATATTGCATTTTTAACCACTATTCTGATAGGAATAATGTGGTTTATAGGATCGTTCGGCCCATGGATCGTTCGGCATGGGTAATGCTAAGTCTATGGACAATGTTAAGTCAATGGCATAGGAATAACATGGGCAATGCTAAGTCTATGGACAATGCTAATTCTATGGGTAATGCTAAGTCTATGACATAGGAATAACATGGGTAATGCTAAGTCTACGGGTAATTCTAAGTCTATGGCATAGGGAAAACATGGGTAATGCTAAGTCTATGGACAATGTTAAGTCAATGGCATAGGAATAACATGGGCAATGGTATATCAATGGGACAATGGGATTATAAATGAATCTGTCGTAATACATAGAACTAATTGTTGTCAAAAACATTTAAAATTCTCAAAATAATAATAGTAAAAGTATTCTAACAATAGTATTGAAAAATTTAAAATCTTTGATGCATTTCNAAATTCTCAAAATAATAATAGTAAAAGTATTCTAACAATAGTATTGAAAAATTTAAAATCTTTGATGCATTTCCCGAATAGTGGTTAACGTATAGCATCGCTGTGTGATCCTTGTTTTATTAAGTCTGTGATTTTCCCATTTTATTACTATATTTATTCCATTAAAACTGCTCAATACAACAGAGGAGGAGCAAACGGTGACGAAATTATTATCACAAAACATCTCTCTTGTACATAAGTAACCTTGATAATAGTTTAGAATTTTTACAAATTGCACACATGGGCTTTTATATCCTTCACTAAACATTTTAATAGTATTAACCTCAACCATGATTACAAATATCAACAAATGTACAATTAATCCGCTAAAAATTCATTTGCTATAATGTGGTGAAAAGATATAAATTAAAGTTTTATAATAATTGTCATTATTCCTAATGTTTATATAAATTCTTACATAATTTTCAAATAAATGTTAATTATTTATTGATATAATACATGTGTTGTAGAAAACATTACTCTTATATTTATAAAATTGTAATTAAATGGCTAAAAAATTACAGTGTTCACTAATTGGCATAACAATCCAGTAATGTTAATACAACCATGGCTAAATAAGTTATTTAAAATAACAGTGTAATTTATGTGTTAATTATAATGTAAATGGGTTTCCTTAGAAACGTAACAGTAGTGATAAGTTTTATGACACTATTAAGACATAGATAATTAATTTGGCAACTATTTTGGTTAATTCCTAATTAAACATTGGCATGTTTTGATAATTTTAAAAATTATTATTATTATAAAACTTACAAAAAATAAATATTAATATTATATTTTGTTGAGTTATGGAAGAAAAATGCTTAATTTGTGGCGATAAGGCGGTTGGTATGTCAAATAATTATATAATACTGTGCTTGTTAAATAATAAATATATTTATAATTATCTAGGCAAAAATTTCAATGTTTTATCATGTGTTTCGTGCAAAACAATGTTCAGAAGGAATGCCTGGAATTATGATGTACTTAATCAATGAATGTAACAAATCTATTAGTTTAAAAAATGAACATGTGTATTTTGTTTTAATAGAGATTTGAATGCAATTTTGGTGACAACTGTCCGATTGATGTCTTGAGGAGAAAATTCTGCAAAAAATGTCGACTCAAAAAGTGCTTTGATATGGGAATGAAAAAAGTGATTATTAATACAATACACTAGACATCAATAGTAAATTGCATTTATTTTATTTAACATATAATAAGGAGTATATACTGAACGATGAGATGAGAAAAAGGAGACAAAATATGATACAAGAAAATCGGCTGAAGAGGAAACTGGTGTCGGAAACGGCCATCAATATAGCCGTTGATTCAACAACTTATAAATCGTGTAAATTTGATCATTCAATCGACGCCTTCGCAAACCATTGCAAAAGTGGCGATCAATTCAATGACACAAACAACGATTACGAAGAGATTTTGGTCACATATTCAGTGCCCGATTATATCTATGATAAAGCGGTGGAACTGGAGTTCTGGTCAGTGGACCGACCGGTGCCTCAAAACAGTAGTTTCAATGATCAGGAAATGTGTCGCCTATCGGAACTGTTTGGCGCCATTAATCTGAATCCGATGACCAAAATCACGTCCGACTATCAGATAGATATCGTACAAAACTTCATGAAGAAGTCCATCACCGGTCAGGTTATATCCAAATTGTTTGCCGTCTATTTAGAGCAAATCGTACAGAAAAATGTCAAAATATCCAAACATATCACGGCTTTTGGCACAATGTGCGAGAGTGACCAGATTGCGCTCATTAAATACGGATCCATTGAGATCTGTTTTCTCAGATCCATTTTGTATTACAATTTTCAGTGCGAGTACTGGACACTAATCTTGGTAAATATTTTTGTATTTCTATTTTTATTTTTATACATGATAGTAATGATATTATTTGATTATGATAATTATTATTAATTGTTATATTTTCTATGAATAGGACGACGAGAATTCAGTTTTATTTAATTTGGATTTATTTCGCGAACACAAGAAAAACACTTATTATAATCACAAAGTGTTTCTGAAAAAGATGGCCATTGATTGGGATATGGATTGTCGTATCATTGATTTGGTAATCAATTGCATAGTTTGTAAACTTAATAATAATAATGTTGTAAATAAAATTATATTTGATTGTATAGATGACAGCAATCTTACTGTTCAATCCGGACAGACCTAACATTGTCCACAAAGAGGCGGTTAAGTGAGTGATAAAACATGTAATTTAATTTAATTATAAATAATTTTCATTTATGTAATGCTAATAACAGATTTCAACAACACGTTTACATGCATTTGCTTAAGAAATATCTGCAAATTAAATACGGAACTGAATGCGAGTCGAGGACCAAGTTTTTGAAACTATTAAACTGTTTGCAAGACTTATATCTAATGAACGATAAAATAGCTAAAAATCTAGTGGACGGCGATCCCGACCGACGGATGCCTCTCATGCATGAGATATGCGACCGAAACTGGTGCTAACTATTGATGTCTATTCATGTTAATCAATGGCTTGAAAACAAGCCTTTTGCTTGTAATCTAATCCTTATTATAGATGTTTAATGTATTTAATTAAAAAACTAACCAAGAAAATTTTATTTAAATGTTATTTAAATAATTAATTGTTAAAGTAAAAAATTCCATGTTAAACCTATGAGATTGTATTCTAGTATTTATAATAAACCACAATATTTACAATTATAAAGTGGGTAAATTATTTGAATAAAAATTAATCACATTATTCATGTTCAGTATATTCACTTTCATTATCTCATCCTTCCTGTACTTTAACCCTATCTTCTCATTAAATTATATAATCGTTTGAAACACATATCAATAGTAATCATAAAAGTTTTGTAATAAATGGGAATATTTTTACTGCAATAAAATTCAATTAACTATTTTCAGCAAATATTAAAATTGATTTCAGGAAAAAAATGTATTACTTTTTTCTAATAGGCTGTTCAAGTAAAAATGTTCATTTCGGCCATAACTCAAAAAGTAATTAAGATAATTTGAATCTGTCTTCAGATAATAATAACACTAGCCCATGTCCACATCTCACATAAAATTTATCAGGATTGATTAACATTAAGATAATTTAATTTCAAAAAAACTGAGAAAAAAATTGTTCAAAAAAGTTATTGAAATAGGAAAACTTTTTTCTCGTTTGATAAAGGTCATAAGTGTCTAGGTAATAATGATAGTTACACATCACCTCTATATTCTCAATTAATTATTTTATCTCTATGAGCTGTACTTTTTTTCTAATAAAGGGTAATACCAAAGCACCTAGGCCAAATTAAATTTTGTCAATTTTTTAAATTATCTTTTTTTAAAAAAAATAATTTCTCTTACATTCACTACATTACACTGTAAGTTTAAAAATATTATTACAAAAATGTCAACGTTGAATTTTGACCATTAATGCATTGGTTTTAAATTGCATTAAAAAATAATCAGAAATTTCAAAGGTAAAATTATATGTTTAAATTATAGAGGAGATGTGTGCTATCATTATTACCTAGACACTTATGACTTTTATCAAACGAGAAAAAAGTTTTCCTATTTCAATAACTTTTTTGAACAATTTTTTTCTCAGTTTTTTTGAAATTAAATAATCTTAATGTTAATCAATCCTAATAAATTTTATGTGAGATGTGGACATGGACTAGTGTTATTATTATCTGAAGACAGAATCAAATTATCTTGATTACTTTTTGAGTTATAAACGAAATGAACATTTATACTTGAACAGCCTATTAGCCATTTATGCTGTAATTCTATGTTAATTTTCTTTAGACTCAAGAATCTCATGTTAAAATATAGTCATTGGCTTAAGCTGTAATCCGATGTTAAAGTATAGCTATAAACTTAACTGTAATATGTTAAATCTCATAGGTAGAGAGGTACCGGGGAGGAGTAGCTTAACGATCTTATAAACCATATTATTCATATCTAAACTGTGGTTTAAAAATTAATATTTATTTGATCTATTACATATGTATTCAAACAAATGTTACAGAATTAAGTGACATAATGTATTTCAATAGCATATTTGAATTTTTCATAACTCAAAAAGTACTTATTTTTTTTTGACAAACTATATACCAAATTGATTAGAATAAAATATGACTTGATACATCTATCAGTATTTTTCTCGTAAACGATACAAATATAAGTATTTTGCTTTAAAGTGATCAAATTTACATAATTACAATTGCTTGCCGGTTAAAATCTATATGTTCAATTTTAATGATTAGTGCATCAGATTGTTCATAATTAGATACTGCAAAAAGTAATTTTTTAAATTTTTGATTTTTCAACTAAAACATTTATAAATCTATATAGAACAATTCTCTCATAGAAATTCATTATGATACTTAATGCTGTGTCATTTGTTAGAATTCATATGGCTTTTAACATACAAAATTGGTATTTAGCTTTATATATTTAATTCTGATTAATAATGTGATATAATAATAATATATGCCAAAATTAATAGACTACATATCAGTCATGCTAAATAAGTAAAGCAAAATTAGTTATCTCTAAGTATCTGCTTGTTAATTGTTTAATTTAATATACTAACAAACGTTGACAATTCCATCATTACACAACTCACTAACAAAACGTTCAACCTACAACTTAAACTGACATGCATGGGAAAGTAAACCCCCATGTATGCAATAATTGCTACAGGATTTTAATCGCACTTTATTTACAACGTTTATAATATGAGTTTAAGCTCAAAGTGTATATTAACATTATTTTTAAATATTGAATGAATATAATATACCCAACATTGTCTATAAAATTAGAATAATCAGTATACAGTATTTAGCATAACATTTGTTATGCATATGTTAAAATAGTTTAAACTGTAATTTTATATCAAACAATGTATAAGCATCCTTTTGAAAAATAATTTTATATGTAATAGTATGATAAACCCTTTATGTTAAATTTAATTCGGCAAGAGAAAAGTTTTAGTGTCTAACGTGTAATTTTTTAATTTGTATATTAACTGTTTACTAATTAATTTATGTGTGACGCGCAGTTGCAATACTGAAAGCACAACGACTCTCTCTCTCTCTCTCTCTCTCTCTCTCTCTCTCGACGTCTGTTTCTACTTTAAAGTTGTTCGTATGTCATCGAGTCGTAAACTTAAGTCTATACTTGTCGTTTATCTTAACGTATTTTTAACCACAATTCAGTATGAATAATGTGGTTTAT